TTATTTATTTATTATTCCTCATATCTGGGTTAGGTTAGGTTAGAACATTTAAGATTATTTATTTATTATTCCTCATATCTGGGTTAGGTTAGGTTAGAACATTTAAGATTATTTATTTATTATTCCTCATATCTGGGTTAGGTTAGGTTAGAACATTTAAGATTATTTATTAATTATTCGTCATATCTTGGTTAGGTTAGGTTAGAACAGTTGCCACAACGCACGAGCCGAACGAGCGAAGCGAGCGTGCCGCGGTAGCGGCCGGCGAGTGCCATAAATGACTAGAAAACTAGAAAATTCGAATTTCACGCAAAGTACAAATAAAGATAATCATCTGGAGATCATTTTGACAATTGAAAGTGACGTTTTGACTCCAAGTGTCTAAATGGTAGTAATGTCAAAATAATGTATGGAAATGTTGTAACTTTAAGTCTCAATAACTTTTGACTCTTTTGTTGTATTAAAAAATTTATTTAACATTTCGACTCTCTATCACGTCCCTTATCCAGAAATACCACCCACTCCGCTAGGGGCCAAGTCCCCAATTCTAAACGGCCGCCCGGAATGGTAATAAACGTTGCCCATCGCACTTGGACATTTATGGATAGTCCCGGACAGTGCTTTAATTTTATTTATTCGTACACACTTGACCCTGCAGGTACAGATTTATTGCATGCCGCATCTGATGAGCTGATGTTGCGCGCAGACGAAGGATCTATGTTAACCCAGGAGCAACAGAATAGACTTAATGCGTTTATTGAGGATCGCGCGCCGCAATTTGCACGCGATGGACCGGCGACGGAGTTCGCCACGCATCGAATTAAGGTGAGTCCACAACAAGAACCAATTGCTTGTCCACCATATAGAATGTCACAGAGTAAGAAGGAGGCCTTGCAGAAGGAGCTTGAAAAGCTGCTGCGAGATGACATCATTGAGGAGTGTGAGTCGCCGTGGGCCTCTAACGTGGTATTGGTGGGGAAGAAGGACGGTAATGTAAGGCTCTGTATTGATTACCGGAAATTGAACGCGGTGACCGAGCCAGACCGATACCCGCTTCCACGTATCGAGGACATTCTGCATGCAGCTAAGTCCAGTGAATATATGACTACTCTGGACCTTCGTTCAGGTTACCATCAGGTAAGTGTCTGCCCAGAGGACCAAGATAAGACTGCGTTTACGACGCCACTTGGTACCTTTAGATTTAAGAGGATGCCTATGGGACTGCGGAATTCCGGAGCAACCTTTCAGAGGTTGATGGACCGATTCCGGTCCAACCTGAAAGAAGTAGCGCTCCTAGCGTATTTAGACGATCTGATACTGCTGTCGCCGGGACCTTTCGAGAGACACCTGGCTGACCTGGAGGCGGTCTTTGATCGGTTGGCTATGTTTAACTTAAGAGTGAACAGAGGTAAGAGTTTTTTTGCGAGAGAATCTGTTAAGTTTTTAGGACATGTTATTGTACCAGGCGGAATCCAGGTGGATCCTGACAAGACGGCGGCTATTGATAATATGCCCGCCCCTCAGAATGTTAAACATTTAAAATGTTTTTTACAAACGGCGAGTTGGTATCGCCGCTTTATTAATAATTATGCTGAGATCGCGAGACCTCTTACGACACTCCTGAAGAAATCAAGTGCCTGGCGATGGGACGCCGAGCATCAGGAGGCGTTTGAGCGGATAAAGCGTCTCCTCGTATCCGCTCCCATTCTGCGTCAGGCGGATGAGTCGAAGCCATTCGTTCTCTGCACCGACAGTAGCGCTTACTGCCTTGGGGCTGTTTTAATGCAGGGGGAGGGACACGATGAGAGACCGATCGAGTACGCAAGTCGTCTTCTCACTAGTGCAGAGAAGAATTATTCCACGACGGAGCGACAGGCACTCGCCGTCGTGTGGGCGTTAGGTAAGTTCCGCGGTTACGTAGATACTGCGAAGGTAACGGTTAGGACGGACCACCAGCCTTTGCGATGGCTAATGAGTCAGAGGTCACCTAGTGGTCGGCTGGCTAGGTGGGCCCTAACATTGCAAGAGTTCGACCTCAACATCCAATACACACCGGGACGCTCGAATGTGGTTGCAGATACGCTTTCGCGACCAGTTTGCGCTGAGAACCAAGGTGAGTGCGAATTATGTATGACAGTCGTTGACTTACCAAAGAGGAGTAGTGGTGATATCCGCAGCAATCAACTGTTAGATCCAGAGATTCGCAAAATCATTGAGGACATGGAGTCTGACGAACCTTCTAGGTGGAGGCCATGGTCCGATCGTGGGTACACTATTTCCGATGGTATACTTTATAGATATAGCTTAGAGTCAGACGATGGAGAAGAATGCTGTATTGTTGTGCCCGAACACGAACGCAGGCAAGTGATGGCTGAACTCCACGACGCGCCTATGGCAGGACATTTCGGCGTGGAGCGCACTTTAGGCCGTGTTCGCACTAGATATTATTGGACAGGTATGCGCACGTTCAGTACTAACTATATAAAGGGGGCTGCTGACCAGAGACGGCGATCGCCGCCAGAGTATAAGGTAGGCGATATGGTGCTACTTAAAACGCAGGGGCCGAACGATGCAGGACGTGGACAGACAGCGAAGTTTATCCCACGCCGGGACGGCCCATACAAGATAGGCAAGGTAGTTAGTTCTACTACGTACGGGTTAGAGAACGTACAGACCGGAAGAGATATAGGGAAATATCACGTTTCGCACCTCACGCCATTTACCGGCCAGATAGAGCCTCCCGTTAGGGAAAAACGTAAATGTGGTAGGCCGCGTAGATACCTAGACTAGCCCAACTGTGAGGACACTTAGTTAGGCTAGAGGGGGAGAGTGTAACGCGGGGTTTTTACAAACAACGGTGATCGCGGGGTATCGTGTCGGAACATGTACGATCCTGTAGGGCCGTGTTTCGTGCGATCGTATAGTTTAGGCGCCCGCGCCCCCCCGTCTCCCGCGAACGCGGCAGCGACGGCGTGGCTCGACCAGGCAGAGAGCCGCGAGCGCCGAACGCGTAAACATCTGTATCATAACGATCCTCCACGACTCTCATTTTCACGCAGTTGTAAGATTTTATGTAATTTTTTGTGTAATTTCCAATAACCATAAGTTTTCTTGTCAAACCTCAAGTGAAATAAATATATTTTAATAGACTGTTGTATACCTATTAAAAATGTCAATAATAAAAATTATTTATATTCTTTAATGTCAATAATTATTGACATTTTATTTTGTTTAAATGAAATTTGTGATTTTTCATATAACTTTATATCTGTTTAATTTATTGCAATAGTTTTTAAGTAATATTTTATGTTAATGTAATATTCATGTACTTAAAGAACAGGAAGCTTAAGAACATATTTTTTGTTATTACCTACAGTCATGTTATTTTTTATTGTTGTATTTTTGTTTTTGTAATTTTATAGCTTGAACTCATAATTTATTTATAAAAACTAAACAAAAAAATTCAAGGTCAAAAATAACAGCGAGTAATAGTGTATACTTATAATAAAATTGTAACTAAGCCTTTATACATTAAATATTTTTTGGAAAATCTTATTGAAATAATCATTATTATTAATACAGAGGCCGAATCTATAGTTTTTAGAATTTTTGTCTGTTTGTCTGTGACCGCATTACGGAACCACGGCAGGGATTTTAATGAAATTTGGTATGATGATAGCTGGTTATCCGAGTCAACATATAGGATACTTTCTACTGCTGCAAAATATTCATCTCTGAGAAATCTATTATAAACGTTAATAAAACGTAAATAGGGACGAACTCTAGCGGAGTGAGGGAAATTGCTAGTAAATGATAAAAATAATACTATATTCTTTTGTATTTTAGTTTTTTTCTTTATTAAAACAAAATACGATAGCTATTTCTATTTATTAACATATTTTTTTACAGCAATGAGTAGGTAATCCATTAATATTTGTATACTGTTTTAAACGGTTGTGTATTATTTAAAAAAATATTGTTTGGCTTCATGTTTGTGAAACGCTTAGTATTCATTCCTGAGTCTGAGTTTTATAGTTATAAAAAAAACTAGACAAATATTTTAATTACATTGTAATGTATAGGACTTTTTTAGAAACAAATCCAATGAAATCTAATTTGAAAACTGTTAGATACTAGTAGCCGTTGAAGAGTTCCACAATCCTCCTTCCGACTTCATTAGATCACTTCGATGCTACCACGTTACTTATGGATTGTACTATCAAGATTTCTCGTACAAATCAATATGACGACCAACTAATTATTAAAATTTAATTTTATAGTTACACTAGCAGTACCCGCGGCTTCGCCCGCGTCCAAACTTCCGATCGCTAACAAAATTTACAGGATCAGCCACTGGGCTAATCTGAAGAAAACTTATCTGAAAATTTCATATAAATCGCTCCAGCTGTTTTCAAGTCCATAGGAAACATATATACATACATCGATTTTTATTTAATCAACAATTTAAATTTATTTATTGCTCAGAAAATCGAGTCTTTTATGGAAATTTAGTGACACACCGACTGCATCGCCACCTACCGAATCCATTTGTGAATTCAAACATTGCAGGGACCCAGTCGAACATACACACTCACACACATGACACAACACACACAAACGTATTATATAAGCAAGAAAATGTTAAGAATTTAATTTATTATTTTATTTTCTCTTTTGTACGTTTCTTACTCTTTTTTAAAATATCATTATGTATCTCATGCATAATATTTAATATAAAACTCGTGGAAAAGGCTCAAAAGGAATCTTTGTATCTCTCACTTTTTATGTCTAATACATACTGTACTTTCCCATGAGGGCGACTAAACGTGCAATAGCACATGTGTTAGTGAAATAAATACATACATTTTCTAACAATCCAAACCCCCAATAACAGCGTGGCCAAACCCAGAACTAAAATTAAAAAAGTTAAAAGCAAAAAAAAAACGTTTTACAGGAACTGGAATTAATAAAGAAGAGACACAATTCTAAAAACACATTTATTCCAATCTAACAGAAGCATTGGGGTGTCCTTTCACCCCGAGCCCCGTCACCCTGAAGGTAGATCCGCAGGGTGGTTTCTGCTCCTCCCCCCTGTTCATGGAGGCCGAGGTGACGTAGAGCTGGTCGAGAGCGGCGCCCCCGAACGTCGCCGACGTGGTCTGCAGGGCGGGGATGGGCACTTTTTGGAGGATCACGCCTTTGTGCGGGTCTATTTTAAGCATCTGTGAAAAATAGAACGTTATTATAATCTTATTCCTTAGCTTTAGTTGGTATTGAAATTTGGCAGTTTAATCATTTAATTTTATTGACCAATCTCCCTCTTGTCTTCTCCAATCTACGTGACATTACACATCTATACATATTAAAAAAATTAAAATGTTTGTCTGTGCTTTCAAAATAACTATGTTTCCTTTAGTACATGGAGTTATTTATATGATACCAGCCCCTAAACAACGCTTTTTAAAATTAGTGTCAGTTTTATTTAAAATGTCAAGTATTCGCGTAAATCTAAAAAAGTATTATTGTCAGTTTGTCTGTCTTTATGTTTGGTCATAGGTAATGTTCAGAACGACTTAACCGGAACTTTCACTGAAAGATAGACGAGTTAGTAGGGCTACTTATGTACATATTAGGTATGTGTTATTTCTTAAATATTTAGGGTTTCAGCGTAAAAATCGAAAACCCTTAAAATTTCGCTTTCTAATTTATATATTTATATATCCAAATATTATTTCTTAATCGATTCTTATACTCTATAAAGAGTCTCAATACCAATTTAAAATTTCTTGCTTTTAATACAACAAAATCTCCAATTTAACTTCATCCCCTATTTTTCATCCCCAGAGGATATACACTATCTATAACTTTAAATTAGAACAGTCACCAGATTAGATTTAAAAAAAAAATTATTTCCAATTTTGGTCAATGTAACTTTAAAAATAACAGATTCTCATATGAACTTCAATCTCTTTAAGGGTTGTTTCGAACTATCCTTTCTTAGATACACCTACTACCATAAGAGCAATGTAGCTACCAATGGTCAAGTCCAAACTAATATTGTAAATGTGAAAGTGTGTTGTTTGTTTTTCTTTCTTTCACGTCGAAACGGAGAGACGGATAAGCGTGATTTTTTGTATGGAGATAGTTGGGAGGGCTGGAGAGTGACATCGGCCAATTTTTACTGCGGGAGATTATCTAATTTCTAAGGGAAACATGTCAGATAATACAATCCAAAAAAATGTTTATGATCAGAATTACTTTAAATTTGGAGCTCTTATTTATTAATGCTCTTCAATAAAATTAAATAAATACATGTTTTAGCATTTTTCAAAATTCATTCTATAAGGGATGAAAGTGTCTATGAAACCTACGTTTTTAGATATTACGGGTTCTGCTAGTATTGTATATTTCTGAAATGTTGTAATTAATCACCCAGTAACAGTAATGACCTCCTGACCAATTTCAGCTGCGGCGGCCAATCTCACTAATTGTGAGACTGTTAGATGCGCAGGAGATATTATAGTGCAGCGCGTGCACGCGCAGACAATGTGCACTCTCTATTCCTGGCACTCTTATACGCCAGTGGGACGACACGAGACACTGGCACGTGAGAGCCGAGGCACGGGATGAGACTCCACAAACTTCCCAACTCCGGGCTGTTACTGAGAATATCTTATCAGAAAAACTCAGTAAACTTAAACTTGGCCCGACCCGGAACTCGAATCTTAATCTGTTAGCCGTACATGCTACCCACGACACCACCGAGGCAGTAAGTGGCAGTAATCACCTAGTAAGTGGTATTACTCTTTATAACCGACTTTCGAAAAAGGTTATGTGTTTGGCCAGATTTTATATTTATCCCTTATGTGTTTTGAGAGGTATTTTTATATCTATAGATCCCGTTAGTCACCTGAAATCCGTCGAAGTTTGCGACCCAGAGGTTGCCGTCGGTGTCGATGGTCATGCCGTCCACGATGCCCTCGAGCCCGTGATCCTTGTACTTGAATACAAATCGCGGATTTGCTAGAAAAAATATGAAAATCAATGGTAAATGTAAAACATGTTAGTGCTTTTCTATTTTTGATCAATTTTAAAAAGGGGGAAATGCTCAATTGGTTTATGTTTTTGTCCGTTTGTATGTAACAAAATATTTTTTAATATATTGCTAATATCATAAAGAGTAGTTTCCATTAGAATTTCAAAGAAAATTAAACAAAATAGGTGATTATAGAAGTTCGTGTAACTTTTCTTATAAATAATTATTTACATTACAGAAGAATAAAAAATAATGAAAAGAGACAAATATTATTCCAAAAATAATATACTAGTTAGATTTAATTTCTGTCTAAGTGGCAAACAAGGAAAACCCCCTTAATTGCTTAAAAGAGGAATAATTTCTCAATTCGACTAAATTTCCGAAAATCATTGATTGAATTCGAAATATTTAGTCAAAAAACGCCCTTAAATTGAAACAAGAAATCTTTAAATATAAATCCACCCATAAATTACAGTTTAAGTTTTAGTAACAGTTCGATAAATATATGTGTGTATGTTTAACCCAGTGATAATGCGCTCGCTTGGGAAACCGAGTGAAGCGGATTCAAATCCCGGGTCTCGCACCTCTGATATTTTCATGTGCGAAGCATTTCCAACATGATTACCACTTGTCTTACGGTGAAGGAAAACATCGTGAGGAAACCTGCATGTCTGAGAGAACCTAGCAAGTTTTCGAAAGATATGTGAAGTCCGCCAACCCGCACTTGGCCAGCGTGGTGGACTATGGCCTGATCCCGACCCCTGACCCACTGATCGTATGAAGGGAGGCCCGTGCCCAGTAGTGGGACGTTAAAATAGGGCTGAATACATATATGTACCTATGTCTTATACTACGTAACACTTCAACTTACAAATATCGCCTGTTGCAACATCATAATCGTATCTTCTGATGGCATACTCGAAGGAGTCCGCGTAATAGAAGGCCTTCTCCTTCAGATCCCAGCAGAGACCGTTGGAGATGTCGACATCCTTTTCTACTTTCCGCACGGAGCCGTCCGCGTCAATGCGATAGAGAGCTCCCTTTTTCAAGTGGAACTTCCCCGGCTCGTATTCATAGCCCATTGTACCTTGAATTTAAAAATGATCGGGGATGTGATAAGTAGTCATTAAAATTCATAATGACGACACTTTTGGCTCAGTTTGTAGTGACCCTGCTGGCTGTGCCAGCGGTCACGGGTTTGAGTCCCGCTGGGGGCATTCATTTGTGTGATGAGAACGAATGTTTGTACCCCAGTCATGGGTGTTTATATTTATAATATGTATGTATTTAAAGTTGTATTGTAGATGTGTAGTGTATCAACTATCTGGTATTCATAACACAAGATTCGTTGCTTAATAGGGAACTAGATGGTGTTGTGTGTTAATGTCCTAATAAATTTATTATTATTATTAATATTATTTCATAATATACTTTACTTGCAACTTGCCCTTCCTTTGCTCAGATGTGTCACTGTGTATTACACCGGATTATAATCAATCTGTGTACTTAATTTCATGCAAACCCGTCTAGCCGTTTTAGGGTTCTATTGTGCGTATTATAGTTTATAAGTTTGTGAGGAAGCTACTGTTAGTTCAGCCAAAAATCATCATGTAATACCAAATTCCAGAAATACTGTTTGTTTATCAAAGGAAAGGAACTTAAAAGCTGTTTTATTATTATTTTGTGCCAAATTCTAAATTACAGTATTTATCTAACATTTAAATAGCCTGGAGGGAATCATAAATTCTAAACATCGATCAAAAAAGTACTAGATACACAATCACTGACAAAAAATGTCCTCACCGAATGAGCGCTCATTTGACCATTTGCATGCCTCGATGATAGTGACAGTTTTTAGAGTACTTTCGCATGGGATTGTGTATCTAGTACTTTTGCGATCGATGATTCTAAAGAGATCAATATTTTTTTAAGCATTGTAAAGTGTAAAACCCCTAATTCTTTTACATCCAAATATCTAAAGCCTCTGCCTATATTTAAATAAATACGTACCAACAAACAGTCTGCCCCTAGGATCAGCCTTCGCATCGTTTATCCTGTTATCAGGGTTTTCCTGGTCCAGTTCCGCCACTTTGCGGATGACTTTGGCCTCTCCCTCGCCATCCCACTGGACCACCACCACATTGCGCTTCACACCCACGACGAATTTATCCGTCTTACCTTCTACTGGGATAATGAAGCCGGGCATATCATCTGTAATGGAAATTAGCTTCAAATTCAGTTTAAACTTCATTGATCGACTTCGAAAAAGGAGAATGCTCAATTCGAATGTATATTTTTTTGTTAAAAGTATTTTAGAAACTCTATTGTTTCAATTTTTTCAGAATTTTCAGACCCATACTTCAAAAGTTACAAAAAAATCTCGTAGAAACATCTACCTACATTTTTTAGACATATCCCAAAATATTTTTCATCCCTCAATTCAATATGACAATATACAGTGACATAAGTTCAAAGTAGAAAGAAAAAATACTAAATTTTCTTACCTAACTTAGCTCTAGTATGTTTGTTGGTGGCTGGGTCATACTTATGTATGGTCTTGTCGAAGATGCTGACGAAGAAGAGGGCCTGGTGGTCGTGCGACCAGTGCGGGCCTTCCCCGAGCCACACGGGCTCTGTCACTGCGGTAACTTGGGGGGCCATCTAGAAAGAACCGGAGAAGAAAGGAATTGTTATATGTATACTAGCGATTCACCACAGCTTCACTCGCCTGTGTCCCTAAGGCAAAACATAGTATTAACTAGTGACCTATGTATTACTCCAGGTCATTCTCTATCTGTGTACTCAATTTCATCCAAATCCATCCAGCCGTTGCAGCGTAAAGGAGTGACAAAGAAACACACATACTAACTTTCGGATACAAAAATAATTAAAAAGTCGGATAGTATTATCTTTGTATATATTACTTTATTATCATAAAAATATTATGAATGAATGTTTGTTAATGAGCGTTTGTTTGTTACTTATCCATAGCGTAAAGGCACAAAAAATTTGAGTAAAATCGAAATCGGAATAACAAAACGACATTTTACATCTTCGAGTCGTTTTAAAAATACAGCATCTCCTACATCTCTACTACTTCTACAAGCTCACTTCTACAAGCCAAGCATTTTACAGCAACTGATAAGAAACAGAAGGAAGTTTTCTTTTAATTGGTACTGTTTACTTTATAAGACTCGAACCTACGAGTACGTACTCTTAAGCTAAAGGCATTACAGCATATAGGTGTTCGTGAGCGAAGCGAGGGCGTGTCACTAGTGAGTCATAAATCGATTATACTCGTAGCTCACTTGAGAAACCTTAAAAAACACGTCGTAATTTTAAACGGCAACGACCTGCCATAAAACCGGATTATATTATATACGTAAAAAAAAAGATTATAAAACCAGTTCTGAAAGATGATAAAAATTGCCGCAGCGTTAATCAGAGTAGAGAACAGTATCTAAAAGATATAATCAAAAATACTTTAGATTAAAAACATAATTTTATATTTGCTGGTTCAAACAACGCGGGACTAATGCTTATAATATTATTTATATATATGATTGATGTTTTTAATTTTTTTACACAATAGCTTACATCGTTCTATAATTGTAATAAAATTTCCAGCTCCAAAAAACTAAAATATAAAAAAAAAATTTAAAAAATAATAATTATTATTATTGTTGTATTGGGTGTGGTGCCGAGGTCGGCTCCAGTTATGGTCCATTGTAGCTCAAAACAAAAAAATGAAAATAAAATAATAATAATGAAATGTAATATCGAATACTTTAAACGCCCGCCATTTCGCGCGCTTGGTGTGACGTCAAAGTATGATATAAGAGAGCCAGTGTTGCCGATTTAGCGCTAAAAATGACGACTTTTGCTGAAGAAAAAGTCATTTACAGCGATAAATTGGCAGCACTGGCTTTGTTATACCATACTTTGACGTCACATTCGGTCTGACCAATGGCGTTGCGTTTCAATTACTTTGAATTTCTCACACCATAATTGCACTTTTTAATAATTATTTTCTTAATCATAAAGAAATTACATTAAAAAATATTGATATAGGCTTAATTCAAAAGCGATAAATATTATAAAACAAAATATATTTCACTTTTATTATAATCACACGCATATTCCCTATTACTAGCAGACCGGACAAATGTCCTGTCTAAATTCCAACGTTGTTTGCGATCTTTTATTTCATACAAATCTTTCTTAGAATCATATAGAAAAAAATAACTTTATCTTTCAGAATTTTCCTATTTTACGAGCAACTTTTTCAATTTCTCAAAATGTCTCACTCGTGAAAACTACCGAAAGTAAATCAGCGTGCGAGAAAATATCTAACGTTGAAACAATATAAAATTTTAAGCCCAAAATTGAGTCCAATGTCAAATCAGTCAGAATGTACTTAAGTTTATCTTAAGTATATGTAACCTTTTAATAATATTTTTCAGTTATTATATTACGTATATATATACTTCAGGTTTTTTTTTTAGTTTAATGTAATTTATAGACTTAAAATATTCTGTAAATATTCGTTAGTATATTAATTAGAATTATCGTTACAAGAAGGAATTAATTATTATTATTATTATTAATATATAAACATAATCAAAAAAAATAAAGTTACCTGTTACGTCATATCGCGTATTATATAGTATACGTTATACCGACGCGACGACCATTAAAATTCGTTACAATTATAATTCAAATTGCCAAAAAACTCAACAGTTGTATGACATCCACACATAATATTATAAATAACTCTGTTTGTTTATATGTTTGTTACCTTTTCACGCCTAAACTGTTAAACGTATTTAGAAAATTGGTATTTAGATAGTTTGAGACCCTGGAAAGGACATTCAATTTTTACCTCCGGGGTAAAAATAATATCATCCCTTAAGGGGAATGGAAGTTTGTTTGGGGAATCAATAATTTCTTAAGTAAGAGATATAAAACTCATCATTCCTATGTGTATATACATAGTTTATCGATTTCATACTAACCGTCAAAAGTTACCTCGTAGTACGTAGCACCTATGTTATATATTGAATGGAAATGGGCATAATAAGTTATTTTTTTTCGTACGCTATTAAATAACTAGTTTAAATAAATTAAAAAACGCTCTTGACTTATTCTAATAATATATTGAAATCCTTAAAGGGAATCAAACGAGTCCTATCTATCCACGTCCTGTCTCTTTCATCAGGTCAACTCGTTGCTACCAAATTATTGTATTATCCGGAATCCAAATTTAATATATCTACTTTAAAAAAATTAGAATGTATATCACAACCAACGAACTATGCCAAAATCGATTTGAATGTGTCTTTCATTTAGTTTATAAATAAAGCTAATAAAACTTACAATATCCAATGTTTTATAGACGATGAGTTGCAGACACAAGTGAGAACACACAAACAAACATATACATTCCACAATTCAACTTTACAAATGACCTAAACTCCACAGACCACAGTAAAACTACAAATAAACTAATTGAATAGTATCTAAAGATGACGTAAGCCCAGTCCGATCATAGAGCGGGGCGAATGGGTTTTACTTTTTACTCTAAATACTTATGTAGGAGACGTACGTATTAATTTTATCACCGATTATTGTCACTCGCTTGCCGCATAAAAAATATAATTCGCTTCCACAAGTACCTATCTTCCTCGTAACCAAGATAAATATCTACAATCTATATCGCTAATAGAAATGAAAGAACATCATACGATATTTGTCATTCATTCATTCTTTCCACACCCTACGGGAATTTAATGTATTTCCGGGATAAAAAGTAGCATAAATGATTTCCGGCAAAATTCCATAAACAATATTTTTATTTCTATTTATAACCTCTACATCAAAACAGGTCCTAAGTAATCGATTAAACGATTGAACACACAGACAGACAATAATTTAAATTAATTTTGCATTTATTTACATTTCAAACATATATTATAGTTTTTTATTATTTAAAAATTATTGACTTAAGAACAACTTACGATATTTTTTTAGTCGTAAGTTGTAATAGGTCAATGTATGTTATATAATTCCACTTTTATCTAATATTGTATAATACAACGTGAATCATACGGTCCATGTGTCGCTACTGAGTATAGAATTTATGAGGAAAATATTATTGTTTCCTTCTCTGTATACCAAGACATTGTAGCGGAATCATTTTTATTTTTGGTTAGCTAGCGACGCTGTAAAGCATTCGAAACGGGAGTGTTTACCAAAAATCTAAATGAATCCGCGAAAAAATCCATGAAGATAGTTTAATTTAAATTGTTAAATATTCGCGTAAATCTAAGAAAGTGTGATTGTAGCGGAAGTACTTATAGCATTTTTGAGCGGTGGCGCGGAAATGCTGTGTATAAATGTGTAAAAATATGTTTAAGACAATTCAAAGTTCGATAATAATATGTAGAATCTACCAAGGCATAGTTATGTTTTGGTATAATTGTATAACGTAGTATATAAACTTTAATAATAGCATTAATAATTATTACGTGATCGTCGACACTCAAGCATTTCATTTCTCTCGTCCTTATAAATATCTGATTGCACGATACATAAACCGCACACATACGCCTGCGTAACTTTCGCGTTTACATAATAATAGTCTGATTGTCAACTGCGAGTACATAGAAGAATTAACGAAATCTATACATATAATAAAATCGTAACTAAGATGAATCTGTACATTAAATATTTTTTTGAAATTTTTATTGAAATAGACTTTATTATCGATACAGAGGCCGAGTCTGTAGTTTTTAGAATTTTTGTCTGTCTGTCTGTCTGTTACCGCATCACGAGAAAACCACTGGACAGATTTTGATGACATTAGGTATGATGATAGCTGGCTATCCGGGTCAACATATAGGATACTTTTTACCGCGGGAAAATATTTCATTTCTGAGAAAAATACAAAAACCGCAATGTAAGAGTATACTAGTATATAAAACCTAAGAATTTGGTATTTGGTCATCTGAACGCGGGCGGAGCCGCGGGCAATGCTAGTTTATACATAAAATTCTAACTGAGCCGAATCTGTACATTAAATATTTTTTGATTTTTTTTATTGAAATTGTCATTATTATGGATACGGAAGCCAAATCTATACTTTTTAGAATTTCTGTTTGTCTGTATGTCAACACATCACGAGAAAACCACTGGACACATTTTGATGAAATTTAGTGTGATGATAGCTGGTTATCTGGGTCAACATATAGGATACTTTTAACTTCGGGAAAATACCTCATTTCTGAGAAATCTATAAATTAAAATATAAATTAAACTTACTCTAATCAAATATTTAGTACCTACTTCATAATATTATAGCATTACATAAACACAGTTGTTTTTAATGTTATATACCTACATGTATAAAAAAATTACATTAGGTTTTTCATTGAAAAGGAAAGAAAATTATAAAGTTACACTAACCACAAAATCACCTTAAAAGTAATTATCCCACCATCAAATATAATAACGACCTTAAAGTCATTTAGGATAATAGTGGGATATCCCAAGGGGACCTAATTTTCGATAGACATGTCCGGTCTATCAAACCGCACTTGGAAGACCAGAGCCCAGCAGTGGGATGTCGTTTATAGTACTCGGAGTACCTACGAGTATTACCTAGCCTTTCTAGAAATCTTAAATCACATTTATCAGTTATATCAAGTTTACAAGACTTAATCATATCTTTGAAAATGATAAAACTCTTCAAATTTGGCACATGGCCCCCCATACACACCTGTCCATCTCCTCTTATCTACTGTAAATAGAATTGGCGAAAAACTCAAAAAACATATTGAATACTGTTGATAGTACAAACAAAATTGCGTTTAGGAAAAGCGATACAACCGATGAATCTAATTATACTGTATAAAAAGTTTAGCTAATTGTATGTCTATCAGGCATTCGAGAACAGCTGGCTGAATTTCGTGAGACTTTTTGGAGACCTCAAATAAAAACAAGTTTCGTTTGAATTAGTCTAATATACTTTCCATTGCTCCTGTACATAGTGCATACTTCATATGATACCTCCTTGAATAGATAACAGGTAAAAAAGACAAAAAAGAATAAATAATTATAGTTCTAGAAATAGACACTTTTGACCAATTGCAACGAATGAGACTTGTAAAAACAAAACATATGATTCTAGACCCAAAAAGTTTTCTATCAGCTATAATTGAAGAGTTCCAATGTTCATCTTCCTGATCATCAGATCATCTCGGTGAAATGGAATCATTGAATCATCATTTGGAAGCTGAGTAGTATGAAAATGGACCTCCACAAATTTAAGATAAAAGTGTAATATGAATTTACTAGTACCGTTTAGTTTAGTACAGTTGGAGTCAAAGAATGGTTGTACCGAAAGCTTTCACCAGTTTGTGGAAAAATGCACCAAACGTTTATTTTACATCTTGTGATCGACTGATTCTCCAATGTTAAGCTAGAGGACTATAATTTTGTTAACAATAATATTCTATAGAGACCTAATTTAAGTATAATTATTGCTCTTCGACACAATTGATAAAATTAGTTTAAAAAAAAACTTTTATTTTGATGATGATAATGTTCTCCTAGCCGATTCCGGCCACGGCGGCCAATCTCATTGAGATTAGCCAAGTGCGCAGGAGATATTATAGTGCTCAAGTGTACGCGCAGACACAAGTGCACTCTCTATTCCTATCACTCTCATACTCCGGTGGGACGACCACTCGACACGACCGGTGAGAGTTAAGGCACAGGACCGAAGGCTTTACGTGCTCTCCGAGGCACGGGGGTGAAACACCGCCAACTTCCCAACTCCGGGCTGTTACTGAGACTTACTATACAGAAAGACTCAATAACTAAACTTGGCCCGACCCGGGACTCGAACCCAGGACCTCCGGGTGTGCAGCCGTACATGCTAGCCACTACACCACCGAGGCACTTACACATACTTATTTTATGCACATCGTGGCACAGTTACCTTCAAATGAAAAGAGTTGCCAATCCTCTTTTTATAATACTAAGAAACGCAGAATAATGTTTGACATTCACGTAAAATTATAGAAGAGACTTTTAAAGAACACCATTGTAACTCAAAATAAAAAAAAAAAACAATTACGTATATTTTATGAAAAAATTAAATAAAAAAATGCTACTACATTAAGTTACAACATTGTTCCCTAAATTAACGTCCCAACTACCCCCAAAGAATATCGACAAGCATTACAAATCTTACAAAATATGTATTTAAAACTTGGAAATACTCACGGAAAATATGTCAGAAATCCTAGAGAGTAACAAACGTGAAAGATATGTACAATAATAATAAAACATAAAGATAGGCGAGTCGATGGTTTTTATAGCTTCATATCTAATCTCATACAATCACATCTATAGATTAACTTTACAGCACTCACTTACAGACAATTTGCGTGAATTAAATATCTAGGTATGTCAGCGCTGAATTTGTGAAAGACGATAACAGTTAATTATGCAAAGTGGTCGACATTTTGTATGCTACAATTTATAAGCTGTACACTATCTTTTAGCAAAGTTTTTATCAATTTGCAGCATCAAATACCTTTCTGTTAAAGAGAAGGGCAGGTCGACGATCAACAAACTCTTTACCCCACTAGCTATATCCTTTACATAAGTGTAGACATTCTACTCCTTGCTTTTCTCGTAAGAAGTAGCCTATCTTTTATCGAAAGTTTGTACTCACCAGTGAGTCTCGTTAAAATCAAATAAGCAATCCTTCTGCCATCCTTTATTCTATAGAAAGTAATATTCTTTCGGGATAATAATTAGCCTTTATCCTTCTTGCCTAGCTTGTATATCTGCCAGTGACAGTTATCTTAAAATCGCTTTAGCTCTCGAACTAGAGAAAACCGATATTTGGACTTCGACACCGTGAAAATTATCATAGAGATCGTAATTAGCGGTAGCGTTTTTGATATCAGATATTATTAATTTGTAAATGTGAATGTATATATAAATGAAAACTGTAATAACGAAATTATATTTTTGCCCGAGGGAAAAATAAAGTTTGACAAAAAAACCATATTCGTTTCGAGTTGACTGAATGATTTATTTAAAAGTAGTTGTCTCGTATTTAAATACCTTAGTTAGGGCCAAGTCTTTAAGGACTTGGGTCGCAACTCCAAACCCTAAACCTTAAAAAACCTTGTATTTTTTGCCTGTCCTTGTTTTTTAAGTCCAATTGTAAGTTTTTTTATGGTAACTTAATAGTCGCCCAGAAATTTGATTAAATGTTGCATAAAATATGCATTTTCAGATAAACGTGTAAGCAATTTCTAGATAAAATCGTGACATAAGAATTTCTGATAACAGCCTTTCAAGACAAACACTTATCGATACTTATTCCAACCTGTGTCTTCGAGAAATAACAAAAATCTAAATAAACATTTTCACTAATACTATCGTCTAGTGGTCAAAACTCGATTATCACCATTAATTAAAATTTGAGGGAAACATATAATCCATACTAATATTATAAATGTGAAAGTGTGTTTGTTTCTTTGTTTGTCCTTCTTTCACGTCGAAACGGAGCGACGGATTGGCGTGATTTTTTATGTGGAGATAGTTGGAGGGCCAGATAGCTTTTACTTTACCGCGGGAGATTATCTAATTCCCACGGGATAACACGTTATAATACAATGCAAAAAAAATATTTATGATCAGAATTATTTGAAACTTGGTATTAAAGCTCTTCAATAAAATTTAATAAATACGTGGTTTAGCATTTTTCGAAATTCGCCCCATCTCGGGTAAAATAGGGGATGAAAGTTTGTATGAAACTACCTTTTTAGAGATATTTTTGTAGTTTTAGCGCGAGCGAAGCGGCGGGTTCTGCTAGTATGAATATACTTTCACTATCTAGTATATTTATACAAAAACAACAAACTTTCTACTGATAACACAAAAAAGCTCGTCAATAGCTACTAAAAAAAACACAGAAAATCGTTTGACAAACAGAGGAGAAAAAAGTACTTCCTGAACGGTTTTGTCTGTGTCGATTTATATATAGAATACTAGCAGACCCAGCCACGCGTTGCTGTGGCGCACTTATAACTTCGTAAGTTAATTTTAATCGGTAATTAATTTCTCAGCTTCTCCGGATATCAAAATCGTTAATTTTGTAATAAAAAAAGGAAATAATCAGGATAAAACCTATCCTATCTTTTAAGTTGGAACAAATCACACATTTAAAAAAAATACGTACAGATCCGACAAATAGTTTCAGAGTTCATCCCGGACCAACATCATGACACGGGAATTTTATATATGATTAAGATTATAAACTGTTAGTAATATGGTAATAAGTAATATACTGATATCCCACGAGATTTTTTTTAATGAAAAAGTTAGCTGAGATATCTTAGTCCTTATGGATCGTTCTAGAATATAGCAGGATATTAGCAATATGTACAAAATAAAAACAACAAAATAATAATGGAACCATTTATTCATACTTACTTTTATTAAAAGTAATCCTTTAGCGTTTAAATCGATTTAAATTGGACAACAAACAGACAAACTATCACATATCTATATATTGATGACGATAAATGAGATCTAATCTTGCTTTATAAATATAGTTTATCTCTCGTAATACCTGTCAGTGTGTTTGTATGCACTCAGCTTGTGATGTTAGATTACCTAATCTAAATTTATCCTGTATTTTAATGCTGTACAAAGATGAACTTAATGAGATATAATAATATGTTAATCCTGCTTTACAATGTTTTAATGGTACTATAATTTGATTTTAATGATATTTACCTATTTGAATTTACTTATTTTTTTATATTATACTTTATTCGCGACTTGCCCTAGCTTCGCTGGAGTCTCACTAGGTAACTAAAAATATGTATATAATAACTAGGTATCTAAAAATAGTTTTTTATAATATTTACGTTACACACATAGTATCACTTTACCAAAAAACAAGATATTAAATAAAAAAAGGCTTACCTATGTCTAAGTAAATAATCTTCTCTTGACGAAAAATGTGTTTTGTTTAAAATTTTATACTTGCATAGGTTTTGATAATTTGATCACTTCAACTCCTTTCCCAAATACACATACTACAATTGAGTCACTAAAAAGAGAGTAAGAAAATATATTATTAGGTACATCAAGGAGTAAAAGCTAGTTTTGTTGGTATCAGTAGTATAAATGTATAAATAAAATAAATAAAACGTGTATGGCTGCAAATCCGGAGGCCTTGAGTTCGAATCCGGGTAAGGCCAAGTATAGTTATCTGGGATTTTTATGAGAAATTCTTATTAATGGTTTATTTTTGGGAAGTCGGTGGTGTTAGGTGTAAGACAACCTGACTTATCACCGGACTGTGAAAAGACATGACTAGTGTCAGTAAGATCGGTCAATGTGGAAAAAATGCATTTGTTCTCTAACCGTTATTTGATTTTGTGTTTAAAATCTTAGGGAAAGAACAGAAGAGAACTTCTTATCTGAAAAACCCAATAAATAAATCTGACCTGACCTAGGGTTCGAACATTAAACCCTAGATTATAATAATAAAAAATGTAAAGGAGACGCTATCATAACCGCAATATGGCTTAATATACGGATTAAACTAAGCAACACATTTGCAAACGTAACAAATAGATATAGTTTATAATGTAGTGTAACTTTCATAAAATCGATTTAGTCATCAACTTGCCTAAGAGTATCGATAATATCTAATCCTTGTATATCAGGTACATCACTATAACTTTGTGAAATAAACTCGCATTTAATGTCGATATTCGCAGACCACTTTAACAAAGTGATCCTTTCATCGATACTCGTTGAAATCATCAAATTATCGATTATTTTTAATCCAGTTATTTGAGAACAGTGAAATTTGTCAGAAGACCATGAATAAATTACTTCTATACTATTAAATTCATTGAATTGTAGTAATACTAGATGTATAGCGTTATCATCCCCACCAGTCGCAAGTAAAAATCGATTATCATCGATTACTTTAATATCGATACAATTGATGCCCGATTTATTTGTTTTTGTTTCAAAAATCGGAATCTCTACTATTTTTGTATTGATTTCCCAGAAAGCGACAAAACCTCTTGTTGTTGTTGTTACTAATACATTCCGGTTCGATATTCGAAATAAGTTCGTTTTTAATATACACGTTTTGTGGTATTTTATTTCTTGTACCATGTTCATTGATTTTTCATCTAGTTTTAACTCGAAAATTCTTAACACCGCATCAGAGCACGCGGCATTTATCAGAAAATTAAATTCATCAATTTTAGAGATTTCCAAATCCATTATTCTCGTCTCCGGATCAAAATCTATGGAGCGGTTTTTCCAGTTTCTATTTCTTTCCTTATCTGTGCCTTTTATTTGATAATCGATAATTTCTTCACACATTATTTTATTGGTATCGGTTTGGAATATTATTATTTTTGCACATATCTGAGCTCTTCCGCCCGCTGATACTAAGAGAACTTTATTTTTGTCTAAGCTAAATGTTTTTAGAGTTCTAATACTTGATAGTTGTTTGAAATTAGCTTTTTCCTTAAATGTTACATTGGAATTTGAACTTGATATCCTCAAGGTGGTGTCTTCTCCACCAGATATGAAGAAGATTTCAGAAATGTTTTTAAATGTCTTCAAACAGTTGATTTCTTTAGAATGGGTGCCATTTATGATATTAGCAGAAGTTATTTTTCTAAGTTGAAATAGTTCTACATTTAAAGAAGAATTCTTGATGTACATCAGTTTAATAAACTCTCCATAATAGCCATTGACTTTATCAAAATATCTAACGGCATCCCAAGACCTGTGTCCGCCTCCACAATTGACTTCTATTAGTTTCAAATTATTTTTAAGATCAAACACAATGAATGTCCTTTCTTGAAATCCACAAACAAAATTTTCTTCTTTATCTAGAAACTTCTCAACCCATTGAAACTCGAGATTTTTGGCCATCATATACTTAGTTGACTCATTTGAATATGTGAAATATTTGACCGAACCATCTCTCCCCGTTGTTATAATTTCGTTATGCTTTATTGTTATTGACGTAGCACCATATTTTCCATGTACTTTCTTAAAAGTTTTCAAAGGTTCTTTAATTCCAAATCCATATATGTATATGTGACCACATCTGTCTGACACAGCCAAAATTTTGTTTTCTACGCTTATACCACTAGCTGTTAACCATCTTTCTTTAGATGGAGGAAGAAGAAAAGTTTGAAGCACTTCAAATTCATTTTGTTTTGAAGCTAAAATTGTAATATTTCCATTATCAGAGCAAAGTACTAAATGTCGATTGCCTGCCCATTGCAAAGATAGAATTTTTCCTAACGTCAATGTTGTGTCAATTACCCTCGAAATTTCATCTTTCTTACAGTTCTCAATAAATATGTCTAATTTTCCATTCATATCTACAACAGCTATTATCTGCTTGCATGAAGATACACTAAGTAGTTTATAAGTTGAAGTATGATTTAGTTCATATACTGTACTACTTTTTGCATTCAAATTGTAGTAGATAATCTCATTTCTTTCCGTCATGATAACTATATTTTTTCTAGCAGTAAAATCTACTTTTTTAGGTGATAAAACATCAGTAATTATTTCTTTATGGCTATATTCAGTAACTAATGTAAGAGGATGTAAAATAACACCACAATCTCCACCACCAGTTACTAAATATTTATTATCTGTATCTAAAGACCATAGACAAGCGTTTTGATGTGATTCAAGTTTTCTCAATAACATTCCTTGGTAGTTCCAAAAACAAATTCTGGAATCTTCCCCTATAGATATAATGTAATCATCAGCTATACAACTTCTCATGACTCTAGCTGTGTGTCCATATAATTCATATAAACAATTTATTTTGGCATTTTCCCAGTAAGCCTTTGACTTATAATTAAAATTAGAACTGTTTATGGTCCAAACTCTAACAGATCTATCATCGGACGTAGTTACTATTATATTTTTTTCTGGTTCACAGCTAATTGAAAATATGACTCCCTGAAAAATTTAAAACATTAGGTAAATCCCCATTTGGTCTGCAAACTTCTTACACACTCTAAATCCTAGCTAAAAGTAAGAAATGGGTCTGATAAAATTATGAGGACTCAAGTTAAAACAGGGTTTAGAGTTAATACTAATTAAAAGATATATAGTAAAAATCAGATGTTTTTATATTACAAATTAAGTTCAATAATAATTAACAAGTGATCAATATTTATGTTAGCAGATTAATGTAAACTTTGTTAAAATAAGTAAATTAAAATAACAAAACTATCAATAATATAAGTATTAAAATAAGTAATGTCCCAACATATTAAAAAAATAGTCATAAATCATAAATGTAAAACTGAATGAACAAAAAACTGTTAATGATATATTATATAAATATAATGCATTAGGAAGTTCATAGAACATTTTTTTAATTTAAACTATAGTTTGTCTATTTTTAAGTTGGATATTTTTTTTACCTTATGGCCCTTTAAATAGTGTATAGATTTCTTAGCATAGCACAAGTGTAAAATGACTTCTGAAAACACAGTGCCACTAAACACTAGGATATCATCTTGTAATTTCAATAGCAGTCCACTGTATAAAATCGAATTTTCTTTATTTATGTATTGATCTTCTAATGTTTGTGTCACTGAATTCCAAATCTGAGAAATGTATAATTACTATTAGAAAAAAAAACAAGATTATTTAATTTTATTACCTAAAAATTAAAATCTAAGTAACTAGTTAATATAAATAAATAAATATTGTCCTTTTACTATAGAACTCCTCTTAAGACAATGCTAAGAATTCAAACGATGTTATTAAGTTGATGAGATTTTCTTACCTGCACTATATTATGAGCAGACAGTAGTGCAACTTTATCATTAGAGAGCCAAATGCCAGAGTGTATCCAATCATCACACACTAAAGGCTCTGTTTCACGAAGAAGCAGGTCACAATTATCTTCAAGTTCGGATGCATCATTTAATGTTAGCACTGTAAACTGTTTACCACCAAACACAAGAAGCTTAGAAAAGCAACGTGAAGGAACAATTCCATATATCTTCTGCCCTCTTAAAGTACATATTTTTTGCATATATTTCTCAGAATCCCTATTAAATATTTCAACATTACTACCAATACCTGAACAAAATAATAAACTTAAATAAATATGCAATATTTACATAAATATTATATTTTATAACCTCTCTACTTACCAGCTAAAATATATTGGTTATAGATTTTTACAGCCGTCACATCTGTTCGAGTCAATAAAGACATTTCGAGGGTTTTTTATAAAAGTGGCAATGAATATTGTTTAATTTATTAAAAAATAAAATGCTGCAAAAATATTTTACTTCAATAATTTAAATCATGGATGACAAATAAAAATTTAAATCGACAACTGACAATTGACATATTGACACTTGGCATTTCTGAAACTCATGCTTGTCCCGTTCCAATTGACATTTCAATGTTATACGTTCAAGAAAATTACCTTTAATATTGACAAAAATAGAATATTTCTTAAATATTCGAATATAAAACCTAGGAGCATAATATTGTTATGTAACTTAATAATATTTTATATTATATAAAAATAATATCACCTTAAACATTGTAATGTATCCGATTTTTTTATATTGATGGGGAAGTAACGTCCTTTTTTACGTCCCACTTTTAGGCACTGGCCCACAGAGTACATTGGTATATACTAGGAACACTGGCCTCAGGGGAACCACGCCATCCATAGACCAACATACTTGCCAGTGCGAGTAGGTGGATTCAAAAACTACTTACTTTCAAAAACTAGTTTTTCATTGTATGGTACCTAAGTGGTAATAATGTTGAAAATTATAATTTTCACATGAGATTATATGGGATGCGAGACCATAAATTTAATGCCGCTTCTCTTTCCTTCATCAAGAGAGCGATTCGCTATTGGGCTATCATTATCTTTTCATTATTATATTATTTATTAACAAGCATGCTTGTTATTGCTCGAAGACAGTTCCTCATAAATATCTCTACGTAGTGGCGTCGAAAAGTAACGTTAAGACAAACTAAAGAATAAAACTCAAAAACCCTAAGTTACCTATATTTGTCTAAATAAAACATTTAATATATCAAATTAAATTATTTATGTCAATAATCAATGTATTTCATATCATATTGTGAACACAAATTCATAGTTTTATTCATCTATACATATAATAAAATTGTAACTAAGCCGAATTTGTATATTAAATATTTTTTTGGAAAATCTTATTCAAATAGACTTTACTATAACAGGCCGAATTTGTAGTTTTTAGAATTTTTGTCTGTCTGTCTGTTACTGCATCACGGGAAAACTACTTGAGGGATTTTGATGAAATCCGGTATGGTGATAGCTGGTTATCCGGATCAACATATAAGATAGGTACTTTTTACCGCGGTAAAATATCTCATTTCTGAGAAAAAATACAAAAATTGCAATGTAAGAGTATACAAATATGTAAAGCCTAAGAATTTGGTTTTTGGTAATCTGAACGTGGGCGGAGCCGAGGGCAATGCTAGTATATAAATACATATAATAAAATTCTAACTGAGTCGAATCTGTAAATTAAATATTTTTTGGAAAATCTTATTGGTACACATTATTATCGATGCAGAGGCCGAATCTATAGTTTTTAGATTTTTTGTCTGTCTGTCTGTTATCGCATCACAGAAAAACCACTGGAGGGATTTTGATGAAATTTGGTATGGTGATAGTTGGTTATCCGAGTCAACATATAGAATATTTTTAACCGCGGGAAATATCTCATTTCTGAGAAAAAATACAAAAACTGCATTGTAAGAGTATACTGATATGTAAAACCTAAGAATTTGATTTTAGATCATCTGAACGCGGGCGGAGCCGCGGGCAATGCTAGTTATTAATATTATTTGACCGCTTTATGGGTCTGATTCCTGAAGTGCCATAGCTTTTTATCTGGTGGTACCACGGTCAAGGTTTATTTTTGTTTTGTAAAGGATAAATTAAAACTCCACAAAATATGAATCAATTCATCATATCAAATACATTTTTATACATTTTTTTAATTAACTAATCACTCAGATATTGATCCATTGGATAATGTTCCTTGTATTTCTTTAGATGCTTTTCCATTTGCTGCGTTTGTTTCCTGAAAAAAATACGATAAGTTAAAAATGGCCAAGTATGCAGTGAAAGGAAGTAACAAACATACAAACATAAATATTCGCATTTATAATAGAAGTCTAATTCCTGCTCTAACAAGTATCTTGTAAAGATAGCTCAGTAATTACGGATTTTGTCAATGACGCCTATTTGAATGTTTCACCCTGCATAGCTATATTAAAATTATATGTATGTATTTCATAAATATTTATTCTTAATTAATATGCTCGACCATATACGAGTATGTAGACGTCAGTTCAACTTACATTGCGAGCTTCTAAATTTCTGAAACTCATTTTTTTAACTTTGTCGTGTTCATATAAACTTTCAATCATCATCGTTTTACAATCTATAACAAAGTTTCAGCCAAAACAACTGAACAGTATTTTAAAGAATTTTTTCCAATAAATGTTTCACGTGATTATTTACATAATTTGACATGACGATTGAAATAAAATAATACTAAACGTTTAGCGAAGCTTAACACAATACATTAGTGAAACCCGCAGCCAAGTCAGTCCGTTTCTGCGATTAACGCGTATAAACGCACAGACAAACAGACAGAATTCTAAAATTCACTTTTGAGTTCTATTGCATTAATAAAAACCAGCCACAATAGTTTTTCTCTAATATCTTCCATGTACAGACAGCGGTTAGTTACAATTTTATAATATGAATAGATGTAAATATAGCTATCTTACTGTAGGTTGGGAGGCATATCGTAGTACACGTCCTCGAGCATTTCTTTCCAATGAGGTTTCTTTTTCTTTTCCGCATCTTGCATTGTTCTTACAACAAAGTTGCGAATATCTTTTGTATACGTGTTCTCTGCCTCGTTATCCCACAGACCTAAGCATTTTTGATATTTTACATATTAATTTTCATAATTATGAAATGATCTTAGTATACGTAGAAATAAATTTGAAGAAATTATTAATTTAATATGCTTTTTTTGTTTATTTATAAAAAAAATATTTACAAAAAACTTGTTAATAATTAAAGAAAAAAAAAAGAAAAAAAACCGAAAATTAAATTAATTTAAAATTAAATACATATTATTTAATAAATATTGCTATTAACTAATAAAAAATCATATACCAACAATATATAAGCACTCAAGATACACAATTAGCATCTTAAAAATGTCCTCAAAAAGAAGTGCACAATTCCAAATTGAATTGCGCTTTTTTCATCTCTTTCGTTCATTGCTTTTCGGATGACAATTCATTGAACTATCGATATTTTTTGATATTTATTCATTTGTTTAACTTAACGTCACATGCTGACGCCACTTTTAGAGGAGATACTTGCTAGGAAATGTGTTTTTATATGTTGTATAATATATATGTTGTTATATATATATATATATATATATATATATATCTTATCTTTTTATACATCAATATCCTATACTGTTACCTTTTCTTTCAAGATATAGTCTGAATTTGTGAATTGGATTATGTTCTTGCATCCACTGTTTTATTTCTTCCACAGGCCGATAGGCGCTGCTGTCATCCGATGTGGAGTGGTGACCAACTCTGCGAATATGTTAAATAAATTATAGTAGTAAAAAAATATTTACAAAAAAAAAACCGACTACGAAATAAGTATGCAGTCGGAGACATACATAATACATATATTATACGTGTTTTATATCAGCTGCGAGTGTGTATGTCTCCGACTGCATAACACTACATTCCTTCATCGACTTATTTTCATCTTTTTAGTTCGCTTTTTAGGCAGTCGGGATTTTTTATTTTTGTAAATAACTTTTTTTGTTGTTTTTTAGCGTTTCTCATTCCAAATTACATCTAAACATGTAAGTTATAAAACCCTTTATTTTAGTACACCAGTCGATAGGTTTTGAGGAAAAAAATATTTCGAACAAGTAATATGGGACCAGAAATCATCCATTTTAATTTTTATTACTTTGATATACCCAGTGTCACTCTCACAATCAAGAGAAATCTAACGACACCTCTCAAGCTAAATCTCATCAAGTTCGCCATCTAATTAGGCTACAGAGCGTGCCAAAGAAATATACAGGTTGTATCAAGTCACTGTATATATGACTTAATCTTTAGACGGAAGCTATTATTAGTACTGTTGTTATTACCTGAGTATATACTTACGCCTACAAACTGCAGACAGAAGTTTAAAAAGTTCAACTAAGGATATTTAATCATCGTCGTAAGGATATTCAATCGCCATTCCTAACTTAAATTTATACAACAAATTATTTCCCACTTACCTGTAAGACATGGCTTCTATCAATACAGGCTTATTTTTAACAGCTAAGGTTCTAGCTCGCTGCACGACATTGTACACTGCCAGTGGGTCGGTGCCGTCCACTCTTACAGTGTTCAAGCCGAAGGCTGGTCCCCGGCTGGCGATTCCATCACCGCGGTACTGCTCCCTGGTCGGCGTTGCGATTGCATAGCCATTGTTTCTACTAGAAAATGAATGTAATCACTAAATTATTCTATTTTGGTTGGATATAAATATTTAAATCTCTACAAATTAAAATCTCTGCCATCTGTTACTTCTAAAAGAACATGTTAACCACCTTATAAGAACAGCCTGAATAGATTCAGCAGCACAATATCACTTTTTTTAAATAAAGTTATATATACATATATGTTTCAAAGTAATCTTCATTAACGATCTATTGTAATCATTACATTTTTTACATTATTGAATCGTAAGAAATATTGTACAAAAAATAAGGAATCCACGTATAATGTAAATATCTGGGAACTTTAACAACAGGTTAGAAATAATTTACCAAATCATAATAACAGGGCACTCGAGGGTGCCAGCAAAATTAAACGCCGCGTGCGCATCTCCCTCGGACGCCGCCCCGTCTCCAAAGTAGCACACTACACAGCGGTCGTTGTCGGGGGTGCGTTTGAAGGCGTACGCTGCCCCTACTGCTTGAGGCATTTGGGTTGCTGTAATATTTAGCGGTAGATTTTGAAATAAACTTCGAAATTCTTAAAAAATATGATATGAAAAAAAAGATTCATTTATGATTATGTAGTAAAGCTCGTTTTTCACTAAAATTATCGGTATTGCCATTTAACAAGATTATACGGACTTGAGCACAGCAATCCTTTATCGATTGTATTTTTTGTGTACATAATTATGATTAGCAATCGTCAAACAGAATTTGCATAATAGCACAATTTGAAAATTTTAATTAATTAAAAACTGAGCAATTTGATTTGTATTTCATGCAATTCAAGTAATCATAAAAAAAGTACTAGGATACACAATCCCTTGCAAAAGTTCTCTTAAAACTGTCACCAATTACAATAATTACGTAAACATTCTAGTTGAAAGAAATAGCGCGCTCAAATGTTAAAATGAGCGCTCATTCGGTGAGGACTATTTTTGTCGCTGATTGTGTATCTAGTACTTTTTGATCGATGCAAGTAATCCTACAACTACGATGACCTAATTAAAAAGTAAAACTAGTTAAATATTAATAGAAAGAGCATACCTAACGGACTCGACAGAGTGACAATATTTCTCTGCTTGCTGCCATAATGCACAGGCATCTGCCTCCCCTTGCCAGGGTCCTCATGGTTGCCATAACATTGATTCACTAATTCCGTTATAGTCATGCCACGAAACAAGAAAACTCCTACTTCTCTATACTGCGCGAATACTAGGTCCGTTAGGGATAGAGCTGCTGCACTTCCGACATGTATTCCTTCTTCCCCATAATTTGTCATATAGAAAGAAATACGGCCTTGTCTGAAATGTGTTGTTTGGGTAGGTAAGTATGTTTCTGACTTCTTGAATTGAATGTGATGATGAAATAATACCCTTATTAACTAACCTAACGTAACCCTTTACGTTCTTACTATTAAGCTACGGAGCAATGACAATTACAGTGAACGTGTTTGTTGTGGTAGCGTAGCGTGCAAGTGTCAATTTTCTGTGTTTACCAAGATAGCAGATCCACAAGCAAAAACTAGTATTTTAATTGGTTTTCATTTTCCATATACACTTTCACTGCAGCCACAACATCCAGGGTTTTTAGTTTTGTATTAAAAAATTAGTAACAGTTAAAAGTTGGGAAATTGGCACTGTTTCACCGGTTTGTGTGAAAACATAAAGCTGTGGGTTCGATGGATGTTTTTTTAAATAATCGCATCGAATTGCCTTGCCATTGAAATGTAAGATTGTTAAATAATAAATGCTTACGCACACGCGTTTACAGTTTATCTCCTGCATCGAACGATGTTTTGACAACATTGGAAGTCACGGCCGTAATCAGTGAGGAGAACATTATTGTTTTAACATAATATGTACATACCTCTGGGATTCATACAAAATTTTGTCCATTTGATTTAATTGCGTCATAGTCTTGTACATATTAACGAGAGTTTCGTTATCAATTTTTGGTTCTTCGCGAGGGTCGATAACTTCGCCATTGTTATCTATCACTCGGTATATTGGAATAGGATCGTAACTAAATTCGTTTAAAAATTTTATTTCTGACACATAAGGTGCCTTCGCTCCGGGGAACTCCGCATTGTGACTTAGTTCAGGATTTGATTTTGTGGACACCAACTGAAATGTTGAAACGTATCCAATTGTAGCATGTGAAGAAGTGAACTTAAAATTATATTTTAAAATATTTTGTGGTATAGTGTTTTAGTTTTTCTTGACACGCGTGTCTCTCCGAACTACTTTTAATTTTCAGTGAGCAAAATTTTATAATAAAACAAGAAATAAAAATAGGTATGTAATAATGGTATCGACACGTTGTACATCAGAGTTTCATCACGAATGCATAAGACAAAAATAGTAAAATAATGGCCATATCGCCCAGCAGTGAAGAAAAATATTATAACCATACAACAAACAAAATAAATTCAATAAGAAAAAATGCAGTGTAACCATTAACATGAACACTTTTGCTTTATTTTAGAATACATATTTAGTAGGTCATTAATAATACGTACTCTGATTGCTTGTTTTATTCTGTTCAAACGGAACAAACTCACACTGCTCTTGAGCGCCATCGTGGAACTGAATGTGAATTAATTTTATTTAAGTTTATCGTATATTTACAAAGAAACTATTAGCAAGTTAGATAAGGACGCTCGATGCCTTTTTGTTCATACGTATATGGCAGGGTCACACTTTGTTATGCTAAATGTTGGAATGAAAGTTGAACCATAAAATTTGTAAATATGTATGTATATATTATGATGTATTTCAATATACGCTATTATAAAGGTGTGTTTGTTTGTTTCCTTAACAGGAACATCCTCGAGAAATGCTGTTTTATCTATATAATGAGCAAGCAGAGACGTAGGTACTGGTAGGTAATAAAATAAAAAGTGATTTTATGATTGATATTTTTTTTTAAATATGAAAGATGCAATAAAAAGTAAAAATTAATTTCTTAGAAATTTACATGGAGGAGTTATGTAGGTTTTATAATAAGTATAAATTCGGTTCTAAGCCTGTTTTAATATAAGAAATATTGTGATATTATTTGTAAAATTTATGAATTTTTGATGAATAAGAAACTGTTTTTCATTTTTTATTAACATTTCGTGTTATCTCTCTTGATTTATATAATCATTGCCGTAATAGCAAATGGAATCTGTCCGTAACTAAACATAATTAACCAGATTAGATAACACACGCTGATATATTTTTCTGTATTTTATTAAGTTACTACGCTGTTTGTAAATAAAAATAAAAGAGGCTATACATAATACGTTATTTTTATGTAATACACACAAAATAAAGTTTTTGATCTAGTTGGAAAGTCATAGGTTCGATAACTTTTCATGGTGAACTATTTAACAACCTTTATAAAATAAATTAAAAAATTGTAGGTAGGTAATTACTTAAAAAGTGCTGAAATAAAATGTTTTAATTTATTCAGAAAAACAAACAAGGGTGTGTTTAGTTATAACAAAAGTTAAAACAAAAGGAAATTTAGTTAAAAAAACGAAAAATCGGCATCATAAGCTTCCGTCAACGTCATGTGACGAATGTCTATCCAGTATCCTCTATTACAACAATCCACGTCCTAAACAACACAAGGGGAAGCAAATCTTTAATTGTAAAGGTTTTGAATGCATATTCAAACAATATAAGAAACCACCAATAAGTAGAATCAATCACCATCAGATATCAAATCATGGTTCAATCAAGTTGACGTCACAACTGTAAAAAATCGGTGGTGACACACGGACAGACAGATGGACAGACGGACAGACGGACACGAGAGTGATCTTATAAGGGTTCCGTTTATTACCTTTTGAGGTACGGAACCCTTAAAAAATTATATGGCTCAATCACTTCACCTTGATTTGACTTGTCTCATAAATTCATAATTTATGATTTCAGTCAGTCAATATCTGATTTATTTAAAAAAATATACCCCTATTTTTTATACATACATTTTTTGTTCATAATCAAAGCGCATAAATGTAATATTAAAGATTATGTTTTTAAAAGGTCATTTAATTTTAATCATTCAATTCTTTAGGTTTGTGGCTTCTAGGAGTGCCTTTGGGCACAATTTACTTCGCCAATGTCGCGTAGAATGGAGAATGCACGTTATATATAGAATGACCGGTAAAAAAAGGAAAAAAATCACTAATCTGATTACATGTAGAAACAGAGCGATTCGTTGTAAAATCAGGACCTAAATTTTAATCATAAAGATATGCGTTCCGAAAACGACATTTGATATATTATTGTCGCAGGCATATTATCGTATGATTCGTCATTATATTTATAAAAAGTTTCAGTTTGTTTAGCGACTAAAATGATGGATGAAGACAAATCGTAAAAACTTTAAATTGTAAAAGTAAGGTAAGTAAGTAGTAAAGTAAGTGTACTTGTTAAGGTACTTGGTAAGGTTTCTGGGTTCAAGAAAAAAACCTAACGAGATTCTCATTTGAAGCAAAGTGGAACGTAACGACGTGTGTTTTACATAACAACTGTTTTGTGAAATAGCTAATGACTTTTTTTTAAATAGCTGTATCTATAATTATTATTTTTTTGTTTATTTTTAAAACTATTTTTCTTTGTGGTTACATATTTTAAAAAAACGAAATCAATTTTACTTCGGCATTTCACAAACGGCAGGAAGCATTTGCAAACTGATGTTGCCATTTGTAAATTGTCGAATTATACAATACGCCTACGACATTATCAGGTTGTTATTGAAGGTTTAAATAAAAAGACAATCAAATGAAATAATCACATATTATACCTTAAACTACTTACTGTGTATCATCCAAATCATTCCATCCGTTATATTGTAGTACATACAAACATACACAGTAAACACATTTTTACATTTATAATAGTCAGTGATTACTTGTAGTTACCATAAACAGATTAAAATTAAATTATTCCTACCGAGAGAGACTCCACTTGTAGACAACAGACATACACTTAAAAACAGATATAGGTACCTATATACACATCGGGGCTGATGTTTTGGTTATATATACCTACTAAAGAATTTTGCCTCATTTTGCTCGGGCGTTTTTGCTCTTTTGGCGTTTTATTTATCTTTTCTTTTGACGTTGGGAAAAGCCTTTACACATAAAAACGAAACGTTTAGGTGTATCATCTAGGTCCGTTTTAAATAAATTAAAAAAGTTATATTAAGTGTACTTTAAGAGATACACACATGTTGTTGCGGACTTTTCTGTAGGCCTTTTTAAAACCTACAATTTCATTATTGTTGTTGATATATTTCTTAATGTTTAATCAGCGTCAGTTATGTAAACGTATGAAAGCACAGGCATAATTCATTCATTTTGTACAAAATATTTACTAATCATATAAACAATCCTTCGTCGTTTATCGCTCTTCCTATTAGCGTATCAAAATCCATTTTGTGTTTAGAAGCAGTAAGTGAAGAAACAGACAGACAGACAGCCACTTTATTATATACTATGTACAGATAAGATTAGCGAAACTAAATTTTGTTTTTTGCCATGAAAATGAGAGTTTTTACTGCGCTAAGTTGATAATTGGGTTAATTTTTTAACCCTGCATTAAAGTAATAGTTTTTTTGTGTAAAAATATTGAATTTCATTCATTTCATGCAAATGTATTGTGTTTTCCCAAATCAATTTAGGATTTAAATAAAAAAATGTTAATTAAATAAAGCAAATAATATGCACTTTTATTTGCGGAAATTAAATACAAAAATATTATTTTATTATTTTATTATAAAAAAACTTAAGATGGTACACAATTAGCGTCACAAAAGTATCGCCAAAAAGAAGTGCACAATCCGAAATTATCTTTTGTTTATTGCTTTTCGGATGACAACATTAAAATACACGTATGTAATAACTAAGTGTACATTTGTTTTGTATATAAAGTTAAGTATATTTATAATTTTCTTTATTGTAAATAAGTATGGTCTATTTAAATGCAGTCTGAGGTTATGCGATTTATTGTGATATCTATTTTATACCTAGTTTTTTGTTTCTATTGTGTTTGTGTTTTTGCATACTACCTGTGCATATATATATACAATGTATTGTACCTGGAAGTTAAATCAGCTGAAGGAAGAATTGAGAAGGACAGGTATATCCTGCGGTGGTCCTCTCTACTGACTCACCTGAGTCCTGACTGACTGATGGATCAACACACAGCCTAAACCACTGGATGTAAAAACATGAAATTTGGAGGATGTATTCCTTGTATGATATAGGCATTTGATAAGAAAGGATTTTTCGAAGTTCATCCCATAAGTGAGTAAAATAGGGGATTAAAGGAATTATGAAATTCTGTCATTCTTAATATGAAATATATAGAAAGTGGTTGTATATGAGATTTAGTAAATTTTCTAAATTCAATCCCATAAGGGGGTAAAAAGGATGGTGAAAACAGATAGTTTATATGAAACTCTGTAATTAATATGAAAAAATATACAAAAAATAAAATTCATCTGTAGACGATTTAAGAGTTTTAAAATCACTTTCTTTAAAATAATGTCCACATAGCCTTAAATATAAATATTGTGTGATTGTTTTATATAAAAAAAGTACTTAGTGCGAAGTGCATAAATATGTCAAGGTAGAAACTGAAATACATAATATTGGACTTTTTGATATTATCTTTTTCATCTGTGCTGAGGATTGCTTGCTTGACAATTGACATCTGTCAGTAATAAATAAATGGCGGTGGTGGTTAGTGACAAGTTAAGAATATTTTTATTATAATTTACTTCCAATAATGCCTTATTGGTATTATGACAAAAAAGACTTGCAAAATACACCATCGTTTCGCGATGGCATCCCAACTGAAACAGAAAATCGCTACCGAAAAGAGGGTGCAAGATTTATTATTGACACAGGATCGAAAATGGACTTAGGTTATAATACTGTTGCCACTGGAGTTGTTTATTTTCATCGTTTCTACATGTTCCACTCCTTTAAAACATTCCCGAGGTATATAACTGCGTGTTGTTGTTTATTTTTGGCTGGAAAAGTGGAGGAGACGCCAAAGAAGTGTAAAGATATAATTAAAGTAGCCAAATCGTTGTTGACCGAACAGAAATTTAGTACGTTTGGTGAAGATCCGAAAGAGGAAGTTATGACATTGGAAAGGATATTGCTACAAACTATTAAATTTGACCTACAAGTTGAACACCCCTATGGGTATCTTCTCAAGTATGCAAAGTGCCTGAAGGGTGATAAGGCAAGACTACAAAAAATGGTACAAATGGCTTGGACTTTCGTAAATGATAGGTGAGTTGTATAATTAGTTTCACTAACTGTAGCTAATTATTTATTGTTATAATAACCACTATTATTTTGTTGGTATGTTTGAACTTTACAGCATATAGCAACTTATGTAATTAACTTCCACATTAACAATACTATAGCAATAAAACAAATTGTTAAAATGATTGTACCTATAATAATAGCTTAGATATTCTTGCAATAATAATTGAAAGCAGTTCAGTTTGCATTACAATTTACAATTACCTATATAAAAATACATTCTTAAATATAAAAAGAATATGAATTATCTATAGAAATCCTGTAACTAATGTTATTTTTTTTATTTTTTTAAGTCTATGCACAACCCTCTGTCTCCAATGGGAGCCAGAAGTTATTGCTGTGGCCTTAATGTTTTTGGCGGGGAAACTAAGCAAGTTTGAAGTTGTTGACTGGAATGGTAGGAATTCTAAACATACAGCATGGTGGGACATGTTTGTTGAAGACATTACTACAGAACTGCTAGAGGATATCTGCCATCAGGTAAAGAACATGATTTAAAGCTTCAAATAATTGTAGTGGATACCTAAGCAGTGTGCTAAATAGAGGCTTATTTCATAAAATATCTTCTATATTTGTTTCTGTTTTGTGTACCGTAATTAGGAAGGATTTTGATGCAATATGTACGAATTCTATTGATTTTTTCCTTTTGAAGAAAGAAGTTGGAGATATATGTATTATATAGTTAGAACTACATAATATATTATAGCAAACCTAAAGGGACTGAGTATTTTTGAGTTAAGATTAGTTTTTCTTATTTATGTAGAGTCCAAAAACTCACATTTATTTAGATACAACGTACTACAAGTGCATATAGTCTATGACATTTTTTTTATTTTGAGTTCACAAGAAAAAACTCCTTTACTTTTGTTTCAATATTCTCAAGAGCTTACTTGTTGGGCCTCACACTTACAAAATGTAATAATAATTATATGAAGCATTTAATGATATATCATTATTAATAATTCTTGTAAAATTTTCAGGTATTAGATTTATATTCACCTCAAACACAACCGTCGGGGGTCGACTCACCCCCCCAGTCGACGCCACCAGCGAAGCCGCCAAAAAACGAGAAAAAGCCCTCCGTTACACCGCCCACTTCCGCATCGCCTGTCGCCGTCACTAAGCCCCCAGTCACTCCGATCAAGAACGGTGCAGACCCGGAACCGAAAATTGACATGAGATTCACTTACCCCGGATACTCGACTATCCCCTATCCAGTATATACTGCGCCCCCGCCTATCCCTGCGAGGTTACCGATTCCAGCAGGGATACCCCCCTTGGGGTATCCCGATCCTCCCCCCGTGCCCCCTACCCGGTTTCCCTCAGTGAACGTGCCCCCTCCCAACTACTTCCCCCCGCTGGGCGCGCGCCCGCTGCCCCCCCGTGGGCCCCTGCCCCCCGCACCACTACCACCTCGGGCCTACTTCCCACCCCCGTAACGGAGAGCTAATTGTAATAGGTTATGTTATAATTTTTTACAGAAATATAATTATAGACTGGGTGTTTGTTTTTTTTTTCTATATACACAGTTATTTTTCTACTATCTCTCGTATATACTATAGTGTATTCATTATAAATTAAATTGAGTTCGTAAAATTGTGTGTACTTGTTGTATAGACATTTATTAGTTACATAAAATTTTGAGAGTGTTAAAAATCAAATGACAGACACAAAATGAAGTTATTTATTAATACATTTCATTGCTCATACACAGAAACATAAAAAAATGCAAAAAGTAAATTATAACATTACCAGTATAAAACTTTTATATACATTTTAAATAAACACAGCAAAATACATACAAAGCATATCAATTATTTCTGTGAAACATATTTCACACAAAAGTACCTATACAAATACAGGTATTACCTAGATCTTAATTGATTTAAAATATTGGGATTCAATTTTAGAAAAAAATTTACAATGTTAAATAAAAAAAACTTAAGCCGAAGCATAGTGTTAGATATTATCTTTTGATGAAAAAAAAAAATGTTAACGTTTTATAGCGTTTTTTTTGTGGAAACTGATAAATAAACATAATATATGTTTCATAACTCAAATCCTAACTATATATGTACAGTGTATTCCTTCTTTATTATCCTTATATTTGAAACAGTAAGGCATTAATCACAATACAGTTATTAGAAATATAAACAGTAAAATTCATTCATAACAAGACATCAACTGTAAAAAACATTCCAAAACAAAACATATGAGTAGAAAAAAATGGCCGTTTCATACAATAATATAATTATAACAAAGAAAATTGAAAGAAAAAATAGTTATAAAACATTGTGCAAGTTTCAAAAATGAAAAATTGTATATACATTAGAATAAATCACAAAAATCATTCACAACAAACAATAAATTTAGTGATGGAAAGACATCAGATCATACATATAAAAAAAACATGTATACAGATGAACCTTCCTTCTTTTTAGAAGTTGGTTAAATATATACAATCAATATTTTGTTTGCAATGTAAGTTACTTGTGTCTGTCTATCAGTCCCTCTATGATAGCTGAATATTCAAAACTTAAAAATGAACCTTACTACTCTTCTTATATTAAAAAAAAACTTCTATAAAAAAAGTATACAAAAAAGTTGAAATAAATTGTGCATGATTAACTTAAACATACGAAATAATAATATGGAGCTGCCTTTTGGACTAGAAAACAAATACACTAACAAAGTATGAACACAACGCACCGACATACATATCTACCTACATACATATGTGAGAGAGGAAGAGATCTCTTAGTATCACCGAAAAAAAAATCTTTATAAGTATTACATTTTACCCATATACATATTGGCAGTGGTAGCCCAGTGGTAAGCCGAGTGAAGCGGGTTCAAATCTCGGGTGACGCACCTCTGATACTTTTATGTGCGAATAATTTCCAACATGATTACCACTAGTCTTACGGTGAAGGAAAACATCGTGAGGAAACCTGCATGTCTGAGAGAACCTAGCAATGAAAATGAAATTAAACTTTATTTAATTACACTTAAAGAAGCTTTTGAATCGTTAATTAATTTAAAGAGAGTCAGTGTCATCAGTCCTTGGGGGAGCTACCACCGACTCGGCTTACATTTTGTTTATTTTATTAAATTAAATTATAGATTATAACAAATAACTACGACAATATTACTAAGAAAATTATTTGAAGAGTTTAAGAGCTTTTACTGTTGCGCTGTAGATGAAGAAATAATAATTCTATAAAGATATTTTAAAGGCACCTTGTTGACTCTTTAAAAGACAATCGAGTTTGTTTGAGGTACTTTTCAACAGAACTATATCCCAAGGGAGGGACTCTCACCGAAGAGAGAAAAATCAAAATAAATCCGCGAAAAGATAATTTTATTTAAAATGTTAAATATTGCATAAATCGAACTGTAAGAAATTATTAAGCCATACAAAATAAGGTTACCTCGACTAGGTTAGATTAAATTAATATTAGATGTATGATCTCTTCCTCTCGCCCTAATAGCCTAGTTCTTTTATAATTTTATTGTTTCACATAGATTAATTAACAAAAAGGTTATTGATATTTAAAAATCATTATAAAAAATCTGTGAAATTATTAGGATTCAAGACGTCTGGTAGTATGGCTTAAAAGAAATTTTAAACACAACTTCTTTAAATGTACAAAATAGATTCTTTAATGTTATTACAATATATATTACATTTACATAATATGTATATTTATGTGTAAAGTAAAATAATGCTAGAAATTTGACACAATTGAATACTGAAAAATACCGATATCAGATTTGAATTGTTATTGTTTTATGATTATTATTATTATTTATTGACCAACTTTCAGAGAAGATAGTTATGTTAAAAAAAGTATATTTTTTTAATAAATATAAGGTTTTCTATTCATCTGTCTATTTATTTATAAATAGAATATTTGGTGTAAAGGCAGTGTATGCAATTAGCACTTTCAAAGGGATCATTTATTTGTATTTAAGTGTAGTCTATTTTTTTTTATACCACGTCGGTGGCAATCAGGCATGCGGCCCGCCTGATGGTAAGCGGTTACCGCGGCCTATGGACGCCTGCAACACCAGGGGCATCACGTGCGCGTTACCGACCCTTTAAAAACCTATTTACTCCCTTTTTGAAGGACCTCATACTGAGGCTATCTAGCTTTAGCGACTAACAAAACTTAGTTGTACGCCGACATTTGTGGTCAAACGAAAATGGCACCTAGCTTCAATGATTTTAAGTGGAAATCAGTTTGTAGTAGCTAACAATATCTATGGGTAATGAATATAGCAATTAGTTAGGTAGCTTAAATTTTCATAATTTAGATAATCACTATTCCAATCCAGTTGAAATATATATACATCAATGTAAATTGTACCTTAATTGCAATGCTTAAAGTTGTTTTCACAACAAAAAAATTAAATTAAAAGCGCGCTCAAATGTTCAAATGAGCGCTCATTCGGGGAGGACATTTTTTGTCGCTGATTGTGCATCTAGTTTAGTACATTTTTTATCGATGGGCAGTATCGAGTAAATGTGAATAGTGTGATAGTTGTTATAATATTTTGAAACTAAAAAGTTACATATATGTATCATTTTCAACATCACATCTATACTAATCCTACTAATATTATAAATACTAAAGTTTATGTGGATGGATGTATGGATGTTTGTTACTCAATCTCGCCAAAACAGCTAACGGATCTGGATGAAATTTGGCACAGAGATAGATTATATCCTGGAATAGCACATAGGTTACTTTTTATCCGAAAAATGTACGGTTCCCGTGGGGTGGATTTGTTTTTGTCTAGGTATGAACCCGAAGCGAGGGTGAGTCGCTAGTTATAAATAATTATTTTACTTTCAACTATGAAACTTATTCTTGATATTTATATGAAACCACCTTTGAGGTTAAAACTTATTATATATATAAAAAAAAACATTCCCAAACACACAAAAACATTATCAAAATGAGTACCTCTTCTTATTTTGAAGTCAGTCAACAATAGAGATTTAATCTACAACTACAGATGACCTATGCCTACTCTTTACACACACTGTATATAACAATAAAACTAAGTTAGAAGGCACGTAGCTACGGTTTAGATCGTTTTTAATCTCTGATATAAGGCACATTTAGTAGCGTTAAACTTTTTGTAGAAACGTCTTCTGTTACAAGCATTCATATTAGTACTTGTGTCCGAACAATATTTAAAGCCCTCAAATGCAAGGTTGTCAAAAAATATATATATCAATTAACGAAAATAATTAATGAACGAAGGCGAAGTTTAGAAATAAGAGCGCTATAGGGTCACTTGGTGGCATGTTACAGTAGAATAAAAAAGTATAAGTAGAAAAAAAGTGTAAGTAGAAAAAAAGTGTAAGTAGAAAAAAGATAACAAGTTAATATTAGTCCCGCTGAGTTTCTTTCGCCAGGTCTTCTCAGGTCTGAGGCTACTTCTTTCCGAACTGGTAGTAGACTCATGACGTTCAGTAAAAAATTGTAATAATTTAATTCTGAATAAACTATTTTGAATTTTGAATAAAAAGTATAAAAGCTTGAAGACGTAAAATACGTTAAAAATTCAAACTAACTGATAAAAGGCTATCGGAGATTTAAGGTTTTGCACAAACGAGCAAAGAGCAATTTTTTAAGAATTTCAGACCCACTCCCCTGTATAAACATAAAACAAGAAAATCACAAACCCGAACCCATGATGGTGACGGAAACACCCAACCACCCTAAGGCCGTCTCCCGAGTTTCATTCAAAAGTATGTATGACCAACACCTATCCGTCGATTAGGAAAAAATACAGCCGAATAAAGAACCTCCTCCTTTTTGAAGAAGTCGGTTGGAAATATCAGAAGACGTCTCCACACAGACTAACGTTAGTTGGAGGTGAGATTTCCCTGGTGGCAGTGTTCGAAACTAACTAAAACTTTCATATAGTTATAATTACTGACTATACGAGATATAATTAGACTCTTATAAAACTAATTGCTTTATTATCTATGAATACTTTGATTTATACATAAATTATGGAGAGTAGAGGTAAGGAGAACTATCATTGATGAAAAAGTGTCCGTCAAAATAATTCGTCAAATAAGGTGGCGCCACGGTAGCAAGTGGGTACATTTTGAAGAAAGCCCCAAAAATATTATTAAATGTTCACCAAAAATAAATCACTACGTTTATATCACCACAGTTTGTTTTGGTTATATTTACTAAATCATTTTGGATTACGTAAATAGTTTCAATAACTACTCAAGTCACCCATAATATTAAATTTTTCAACTCGGCACACTTCACTCCGTCTACAACTGCTAAATTCATATACATATCTCTAGCTACGCTAGCGCCATTCTGGTGGGTTTGAACTATTACACTTTTTCACAATAAAATAGTACTCTTTTCTTCTAAGTTCCATAACTCAAATAAATAATCGTTTTCCACAGAATAAATAATGATTGTTGACTTTTTGTCGTACATTAGTTCAGCCATCAGCCGTCAGGGAATCTACACCGACAATATCATAAAACAATGTTAGGCACAATTTCTAATAAACCTATAAATAAAATATACAAACAGTTATTTATATGAACATATATACATATAGATATCTAGATGGAAAGCGTTTGTTTGTCACAATCTCAATTCAATTATCTACAATAAGGAGATAATATAATAATTATAACGAGACAGAGTTTGTTTGTTTGAACGCGCTAATCTCAGGAACTACTAATCCGATTTGAAGATTTTTTTTGCATTAGACAGGCCGTTTGTTGAGAAAGGCTATAGCTACATATCATTATGCTACACCCAATGGAGCGGAACAGTAATCGTAAATGTCTACAAATCGGGCAGACTTCCATACATTATTGTAATTTTTTTTTATTAATTTTTGTATGAACAATATTATATAAATACATAGCATTAATTAACATAAAACAAAGAGTTTTTTGTAGATTGAACGCGGGCTTAGCCGCCGGTTCTGCTAGTTACTTATAATATTTATTACCAATAATTTTATAAAATTTATATTTTTATTTGATTTAATCAGAAAATCTGTCACAGTGCCAAAGAAGTTTTACTTTAAACAAGCGTAAACGTTACAAACACTTTTTTATTTACTCATTTCCCTAGTTCAAAGGACAATGCAACCTTTTGTATGGACCGTTGCAAAAAGTTGCATAACCCTATATGTTATGTATACTAATATTATAAAGAGGAAAGATTTTTAGTTTGTTTGTTTGTACCGAATAAGCTCCGAAACTACTGGACCGATTTGGATGAAATTTAATAAGAAGATAGTTTGAGATCCTGGAAAGGACATAGGATAGTTTTTATCCCGGAAATCATCAATTAAGAATGTGAAAATGGGTATGAAAGTTTGTATGGGGAATCAACCTAAATATATCACTAATATATATTTTCATATGTAACACTTGAAATCCTCTGTTAAAATAATTAATAATCATTTTTATTTCTCATTTTCAAGTAATTTGATTAGAAAAATTGTTTTAATTATTTTTTCAATAAATTTTCAAATTTTACTCTGACTTTATTAATTGGCTTTTATATAATAATTAATTAAATGGCTACTTGCTATTATTCGTGCCCATAAATAACTGTTGAGATTTACTTGAGCAAAATATAACTTCCATATATTATACATTAAAAGAATAATAATTTATTAAATAAATAAATTTCATAATTGTTATAATACTATAATACGATGAAATAATTTATTTCATCATCAATCAGAAATCGAACCTACACCCAATGAAGTAACATTCACTTCAACCTATAAACATAGTTTATTAAGAACCGTTTTTTTAAATTTTGTATGTACATATTTCTAATATGAATTTTAAAAATTGTCATTTAAGTTACATATTGAGGATGGGTGCAGATTCGAATCTTCCTTCATACAATTATTAGCATTATCAATATAAATTCTAATACATATTAATATTTCACAAAATTAATACTTGTTATATCGATTTAATCGATTTTCGCATTACTTACAGCTAAGTCTATATGAGTCTCGATTGTTTCAAATATTGGAGTAAGACCTGGTGGAGGAACTTGTATTGCTGGACGTTCTCTATAAGATTTGCTCGTTGCTGGTGTAAAATACCGATCGTTCTTGGTATATCTAATTCCTGTAAAAAAATATGAAAAAAAAAATATAGAGAAAGAAAACCTGGTAAAAAAATCTCTTTTCTGCCTCAGGAAATTTCGCGAAAAACGAGATCTTAAATTATTTTACCTAAATATAGTGTAAAAAATATTAAGCGATTTTTTTGTATTACTGTTGCTATAAATCACGTTTTTTAAATCATTATTTTTACGCACGCGTTTTTAAAAGAAACACATTACACATATTATTATGTTCATACTTTTTAAATTTATTAAATTTCTTACTTCTAATGAAATAGAATATCCGATGTTTCATTAAATGTATGTGAAGTCGGTCGTATGGTGTTATATGTAGACTGTAGTATTGTTGGTGGTGCAGTGTAGGTGGTGGTGTGGTTTAGGTGGTAGTGCGGTGTAGATGGTTGTAGTGCGGTGGTGGTTTATAATGGCAGTGAGGTAGTATTAGGGATTGGTGGTAGTAATGCAGGGTGGCGGTGGTGGTGTAGTAGTACTGGTGACGGTGGTGAGGTACCTGGTTGGTATCCAGCACGTGCAGCAGCAGGTGCGCGGCGAGGGCGGCGCCGGCCCGCGCGCCCGTCACCACGAGCGGCGCGCTGTCCCCGCCCGCCCCCGCCCCCGCGCTCGCGGCGCGCAGCCCGTTCACTTCCGATATGAAGTCTGTGAAGAGTAATTATTGTCGTTCCATACTCCAGAACGGTGTGCGAATCAGACTGGCACTTGTCCTATTTTTGGAGTGAAGTTCTTTAACGTGGCTTTCGGTAGGAGTTGACAGGTACTAAAGTCTCTAATTAGCGTCTGGCAATCCAGCCGTGCGTGAAGCCAAGAAAAAAACTGTGAGGTGGCTCACTTCGGTGGGCGGTGTGCCGTGCGGATTGCTCTTGGTACTTCTCTGACAGCAGAGTGGACTTTTGGAACAATCCCATAGTTGTTGTGGTCTGCTTCGGCAGACCTGCCGCCGGGGCGTCGTGGTTGAGTGCGTAAGTGATCCTGCGCCGTTAAGACGGAGTCCCACATAACAATCTGTATGCATTGCAAGTATGCCTAAATGGATTTCTCAACATTAAAAAATGTAGTTGACAGGTAGAAATGGTCATCACGAAAAAGGTTAAATTTTTTTTAATAAGAGCATCCCGTCTGACGTCATCATAAGGTACCAGGCAAGCATAAATGTTAAGGAGGTCATATGCACTCTTGAGGTCCGTGGTCCCCTAGTACTCGTGACAAAAGCACCAGGCTATCATAAGTGTTGAGGAGTGTATGTTGTAAGTAGGTCGTGTGCACTTCGTGCAGGCTTTACTGCGATAAACTTCAAAATGTACGCAGTACTTTACTCGATGCCTATGCTACCCTGGTACTCGTGACAATGAGTATGAGCCGAAGGAATGAGAGAGGGCGGACAGCGACCGGATGTCCTACGACACTGACCGGTTTTTGAAGTGGAAACTTCTAAAGATAGGTTTGGATGGAGGATAAATTCATGTAAGTCATCATCGGCATGGTCGCGTGACGTGTTAACACTAACACTCAAAGTGCCGATAAATGTCAATACCAGATAAATGCAAACAGTTTAAATTTACAAATTTTAATTTAAGATCAAACAATTGATTTGAATATCCAAAAATAATAACTGTATGTTTATAGTTTTGTTTTTACTTCTGCCGGCAGTCCTCATGACTGCTTTTTTTTGATAATTTCAACTAGCACACTGAGCACACTCACCAAGGAAGCCGGCGACGTCGGGCGCGGCGTGCCACACGTAGTGCACGTGCCACACGTCGCGGCAGCGCGCGCCGCGCCGCACGCGCACCAGCGTGGACGCGCCCCACGCCGCGCGCGAGTAGCGCCCGCGCGACACCTGGAACTGCACCAACACTGCCTTTTAACTTTACTGCTCATTATATTACATATATCATATATTATCACATATCACGTACGTTTTAATTTTTTAAGCTATTGCATAGCTTCTATCGCGGGCCTTGAGCGTGGGGACCGAATCCAGAAATTCCGTAACGAAAAAAACCTGACACCCCCCACTCCGACCGGTACAGTGGTAATACTTTTTAGTTTTTCCATCTATCGATAAATACCAGAACTTTTAATGACTTTTTGAAATATCACGCTTGTCTCTTTAGTTCAGCAACCCGCCTTTAGGTGGCATTGGTTGTATTGGAAAACTACCGTAATCAGCTGTTTGTGAGAAAGTTTATTTTTTTTATGAGCTAGTGCCATCTTGTATAAAAACTACGAACTAGCTGTCTTACGCTACTTTTATTCACAGCTATAAGAATATGGTCACTAGATGGCGCAACAAAACAAAATAGTAGTTTGATATTTATGTTTTAAGTCACGTTTGACGACACGCTTGGCTCAGTTTGTAGTGACCCTATTTTCTGTGCCAGCGGTCGCGGGTTCGAGTCCCGCTGGGGGCATTCATTTGTGTGTTGTCGAATGTTTGTACTCCAGTCATGGGTGTTTATATTTATAATATGTATGTATTTAAAGTTATATATGTGTAGTGTATCAACTATCTGGTATCCATAACACAGGCCTCGTAGTTTACCATGGAACTAGATGGCGTGAAATACTAATAAAATAAATAAATAATTATAATTGCATAAGTTGATAAAAAATGCTATGCAATAGCTTTACCGGGGCAGTCTCCGAGTGCCACATTTAATTTTAATATTTGAGCTAATTCTTTTTCTAAAATAAAAGTAGCATATGTTACTCCTTATAAAATCAGCTATCTGCCAGTGAAAGTCCCGTCAAAATCGATTCAACCGTTTCGAATATTAGCCTGAACAAACAGAGAGACAGACAGACAGACACATTGTATGTATATACTTTCATAAGAATTTATTTAGTAGTTTCATATTTTTTTTTGCAATTTACCCACCTGTCCATACTCAGCCGGGCGGTCGCCGGCGGGCAGGTAGGCGGGCGCGCCGGCGTCGGCCAGCGCCACCACGGGCGCGCCCACCTGCAGCACGCACTCCCACAGCAGCGCGGCCTGCTCGCCCGCGCCCGCCGCGCCCGCAGCGCCCGCCGGCGTGGCGGGCACCACCACGTAGAAGCGTTGTGTGTTGCCTACGGTCATCTGTGTATGGACGATATTTTGTCATCGCTGTGTTTGAAAGATTTTGTCATTTGCGTGTGCATGGAAGTTATTTTGTCATTGGGATGTGTATGGGTGATATTAAGTGATCTATGTGTAAGGAAGATATTTTGTTATCTGGGTATATGGAAGATATTATGTCATCTATATATGGAAGGTGTTCTGAGATCTCTGTATTGGATATTGTTAATCTATACTTTTACTCATTAAAACTAAGTTCATCTATGTACCACAGATACACTACATTCAATGAAAACTCTTGCACCTTTGCAAAATGGCAGTCGCCATTACGTATTATGTTCAAATTGATAAATATTAAATTACTAGTGCTACCCTCGCTTCACTCGGATGCATCCCTAGATGCCTAACATTGGTGTGCCCTGGTACTCCAGCTTATAATACATCTTTTAATCGTCATCCAAATCCATCTAGCTATTACCGCGCAACAAACATACACACACGTACAAACCTTTACAATAATAATAATAATAAACCGATAACATTTGTTGCGGGTATTAAAATCAAACCAATTTTTTCTTCTTCCTGCACGGCTTTTTCCGCACTTAGGCATTATTACCCGTTGTGCGTGAGCTTATGCTGTGCATAGTATTAATCTTTCCACCCCAGAATGTCCCAGTAGTCTAGCAGGCTGCCGATATCATGGAAAACTTCCGGGAGCAATGTCTTGGGGTCAAGTTTTTCTGCGTGTAGGTGTTCCATTTCACAGCATTCAAGGAGAATGGGGACTGGTGAATCAAACCAAACATAACAAAACCCAACTCACAGTGACATGCGACGCGTTGATATACCCATGTCGGTTGGTGGGGGTGGGGTGCAAGCGCACCCTGTTGTCCTCGTAGGGGATGTTGTCGACTGAGAAGCCGTTGAGGGCGGCGTATTGAGGCAGTAGGGCTGTATTGTACTCCGAATCTCCTTCCCGGGATTTAGGGATCTGCTCGAACGCGAAGGCCAACTGGTCGTCGGACATTTTGCGTTCTAGTAATTGGCACTGTAGGAAATATTCAACATATCAATGGGATTTATGATGTACTTACTAGTGTAAAGTTTCGCTATTTTAATGTAAAATAAAACAGTTATTAATTTATTGTAATCACACACAATGTCACACTGATGACGCGAACGCACAAATTATGATAACTTTATAAATCTAGCAGTTTAAAAATTTCGAGAATGGTGAGGCGGAAAAAGAAATAACGAACATAAACATAGGTAGGTACATATATAAATAAGCTTTTGAAATTATAATGGTATACGATTGTTTCGATAAAAATCGAAGAATCGCGGGTAATTAATTATTTATACGTAAATAGCTTAGATTACTTAAATAACATTAACAATTTATATCAAGGTACATTTAGTAAACTTTACAAAGCGAAATGATCTCTAATACAAAATTGCATGACACACTCCCCTTCGTATTAGTTGAACATACAGTTGTCATACAGACGGACTGACGGTAGAACAATATTCCTCGCGTAAACTTACAGCATTGTGGTATATGCAAAAAATTAGAATGCCGCCTCTATTTGTTATATCAACTAACTTTTTTTGTTTTTATTATATTTTACATGCTTGAATGTTAAAAAAATATTACCGAAATAATATAAATAAATATATGTATATCGATAAATATTATTTAATAGTAATTTTGTTGAAAATGATACATATAAACATCTAAGAGATGCAAGAGCCGGGTTTGAACTCGTTTCACTTGGTATTTCATGCGAGCTCGTTACCACTAAGCTACTACTACATTATATTTTGATTATTTACAACTTAATCATGTGTAAATGATAATATATCATAAAAATGTTAAGAAGCGTTATTACATTCTATATAAATTGATATAAGATAACAAAATCGAACCTGTGACTCATCGAATACTGGTAGGATGGCGCTAACTGTAGCTATTGTATTTTTGACATTCATAATTAACTAATATGTTGCATAAGTAGAATAACTTTTAGCGGATAAATACATTTTAAATATTTAAAATAGCTTAAATAAAACTAGGCAAGGACAAATAGAAAATGGCACGCAAAATTGCACGGATGATGTTGTACATAATAAGGAAAATATTCCCTAAAAAGTAGTCCATATTAAAATATAAACTAACGCGCTAACAATGACGTTGCTTAGAAAAAAGATATGATTTTTAATGTTTACGAATATTATTCAGAAATTAAAGAGAACTCAGGAAACTATAAAATCTATACATATGTATAATAAAATTCTGTGTAAAATCTGAACATTAAATATTTTTTGGAAAACCTTATTGAAATAGTCATTATAATGGATAAAGAGGCCAAATCTATAGTTTTAGAAATTTTGTTTGTCTGTCTGTCTGTCTGTCTGGGAACGCATCACGAGAAAACCACAGGACAGATTTTGATGAAATTTGGTATGATGATAGCTGGTTATCCGGATCAACATATTGGATACTTTTTCTGCGGGAAAATATCTCATCTCTGAGAAATCTATACTAAACATTAAAATGTTATATATGATAAAAAATAATAATTAATGATACTTACCAAAGTTTCTTTGGTAATACTTGGCGGTAACGGTTGGAATTTGGGCAGACCTGTGGACCATCGGTGCTTGTTTGCATTCTGCCCGCCTTTCGCCCGATCTCTCCCTAAAGTGGCACTCTTCACTTCCACATTCTTATTCCTCCCCATAAACACCCCCCATCTTCGTCTCTTCTTCTCTTTCGTCACATTCGTCTTATCCAACTCTATGCTAGTGCTGTAAGTCGAATTCATAATCGAACTCGATAAAGCACTGTCCGTGACACTCGATGTTGTATCGTTAACGCTTATCGATGTCACATTATCAATGGATTTGCTTATGTTATTCTTATGAGTCGATAGACTCTGATAAGGTGTTTCGTCGTAGTCCTTTTCGTCGGTTTTTAGACTCACTCTGTCTAAATTCTGGACAATGTTTTCGGAGTTGAGTGATCGGTTTGAGTTAGTCAGTTCTTTTGGTATACTCGACTCGCGAACTCCTTTAATTATTTGGGCGTTAACATAGTGGCTATCGTTGTCTATTTTCGTGTAAGGATGGTTGGCGTTCGTTTGTAGTCCGTAATTATTTATTGTCGGATGACTGCTATTTTTCTCATTGAGTCGTGTTATTTCGTCTGTCGTGGTTAAGCTTTGGGCTCTTTCACGTATCACTTTCCCGTCGCTTTGCCATGGTAATGGCACGTTCTCGTATATAGGTTCCTGTGTTTCTGTGTGGGTTTGGGGGAGGACTAGGTGTCTTTGGTAGGATACGCGCCGCATCGGCATAGAGTACATTATATTACCTCTTTCGTCGTATACTTTTTGTATATTGTCAGATATGTGGTGGGGGTCAATGATTATGTGGGGGTTGGGTTCTAGCACCGACGTCAAATTATTGTAGGTTCCGTGCGTTGCTGGGAGTATATTTGGTCGAGTGTAATTAACTACGTTGTGCGCCGGGTTTACGTAACCCAAGTACTGTCTGTTCAAGGCTGTGCGAGTAGATACTAAGTCGGGACTAGATCCTGATACGTGAGAGTTTATATAGCCCCTGTGATAGTTTAAAGCTTGGCTCGCAACCGCTAAGTCAGGGGTCGAATTCGATGCTAGACCATTGGAAGGATAGGGGGGTGGGGGTTTGTATACGTTCACGTAATGTAGCGCGTGGTCTGTCTGTACGTTGGGGTTGACTGCCATTGGGTAATTACCCACGAATTTTAGCCCATAAGTGTAATCATCTGTTGTAGTGACCCCTTGGTTGACTGAGACCGTATGTCTGGTAACATCGGGATAGTGTATTCTGTGTATGTCGGGATGGGAGCCATAGACTAGAGGTTGGGCGGTTGTGTTGATGAGTTGGGAGTGGGCGTGGTGGTTTTGGTATCGCAGTTGTGCTTCCGCTCTCTGTTGTTGGTACTTCTGTTGGATTGCCGTTTCGTAATCGGGTGCAGGTCGATAAGATGGTAGAAGCGCTCTGTAATAAGAAATAATATATATTTAAAGCTAGATTTTGACTTTTGAGGGATACACACACCATTTTTTGAGTATTTTTAAATTCTCCTGAACTTCAATCTACCAAGTTTTACAAACAAAAATAGTATTATCTTATAAATTTCACTTTTCGGGATAAAAAGAACTATCTTTGAGACCATATTTATATAATTTGTGAATTCTAAAGTACAATACAATTCATACATTGAACATTACCTGTTTTTCGGTTGTGGTCTGTGGTCAGCTAGTTCCAAGCACGACGTAGAGTGCGCTCTATGTGCAGCCGTCAATGGTTCTAGACGGGAAGTGCTGCCTATCTCCCGCACATCCAACTCCTCGCGACTCTCTGAGAGCCCATGCTCCTAAAAGATTTGTTAATTAATAATTTTGCAAACGATTTCCGGCAAAATTAATAGAGCCTGCCTTATATGCAGATCGTTTTAAACCAAGCAAGAATTAGAAGTACGAAGTTGACAGTACACTATCGAGTTTCTCGTTAATTTGACATCACATTATACTTCATAAGTGACAAGCGAATAGTTTGACCAATAATGAGCAGTATACATTGTCTTTAAAGGCTTGTAGTATCAGTGTAATCACTCACGTGATTTTGATACCTGTAAGAGTTTAGATATTGAAGCAGACTGGGGAGTGTTAGGTCTCCGGAACTCTCTTTCCTATCGAACGAAGCGCGGAAAACTAAGCAATTTTTTTTTCTTTAATGGCTTAGAATTGCGTTAACAGACGCAATACGTTCTGTCAGTGTGGATATTGTGAGGAAGTCACGAATGAGTTTGAGCGGTAATTTTGAATTTAGCCGTTTTAACGTGAAATTAAAAGTATGAATGAATGATCGGTCTACAGGAGCAACTTACAACAATAAAATGCATCCAGAAAAATTGATCTGACAAGACCTGTAATCAGTCATACTAAACTTCATTTTTTTTTTATAAAACAGATTATATTGCGGAAAACATTATCAAAAGGATTCAATCTTTAGTTTATCTAATTTATTATACTTTAAATGACGACACGTTTGGCTCAGTTTGTAGTGACCCTGTATGCTGTTCTAGCGGTCGCGGGTTCGAATCCCGCTGGAGGCATTCCTTTGTGTGATGAGCACGAATGTTTGTACTCCAGTCATGGGTGTTTATATTTATAATATGTATGTATTTAAAGTTGTATATGTGTATTGTATCAACTATCTGGTGTCCATAACACAAGCCTCGTAGCTTACCATGGAACTAGGTAGTGCTGTGTTAATTTCCCAACATATTTATTTATTTATTATTTTTTTAAATGAGGAAATTCGTGTACGAGCACCAACTGTCAATAACAACTACGATTGAGTTTGATGAACTTGTTGAAAATCAACACGCCATTATAATTAATCAATTTGTGTAATTATAAAGAAAAAATTAGTCAAGTGCAGTACTTTCTTACATAGAATTCCGTATCTACATATCATTACTGCTATTTAAAACAAAGTTGGAGTAGACTGGACATTTTTAAATAAGCGGTGCTTAGTGTAAGTTAGTACTTAAAGTGAGTCATAAAACCTAGCTAGGGACCACGTAGTGCTAATAATTCTACATACATACTTATATGTTATTTACGTTAGAATAGAGATCAACTCAGTAGATTTTATAGGACATATGAATCAAAATTACGTAATTTTAAAATCAATTTTGTGTAGTTCTCCTTTTACACACGCCTCTCCCAAGAATGAGATTTGTATATGGCTTTAAACTAAGTTAAACCCTCCGGATGGAGTTGTTCTAAAGACTCGCTATTAAGAAAACATGAATTTAACCAAATATCTGAAAAGACAGTCTAATCTATACATATATAAAATTCTGAGTCGGATCTGTACATTCAATATTTTTTGGAAAATCTTATTGAGATAATAATTAATTATCGATACATAGATCCAGCATCTATAGTTTTTAGAATTTCTGTCTGTCTGGGAACGTATTACGAGAAAACCACTTTACAGATTTTGATGAAATTTTGTATGATGACAACATGGAAAATATCTCATCTCTGAGAAATCTATACTAAACGTTAAAACATAACTAGTGACGAACCCGAGCGGAGCGAGAGCGAGTCGCTAGTATCTATATATTATTCTGTATTAAACTGCGGAACCCTAAACACGTCTGAGTAAAATCGTGCGACTATATAGTGTGGATTTTCCTTCCAATACGATAAAATTGTTTTTGTGTCGAGTTATGCGGCAAACGATCTTATCTCGTCAGCATGCACGGCACACCCGACTGATAGCTTCATTAAACATTCTTATAAGCTTGGTGTTTTTATGGGCAATTGTCTTATCTTATAGGTCCTTGTTATTTACATTTTTTTAAATTATTTTTAGGATGCATTAATATTATTTGATGAGTTATATTCCTTAATTAATTTTGCAGTCACCAAAAATATTGGCAACATTTTAATGTTCTGTACACAAAGTTCAGTCGACACCATATAAATAAATAAAATAAGTAAACATAAATATGCTGGGACATTAACACATCACCATCTAGTTCCATGGTAAGCTACGAGGCCTGTGTTATGGATACCAGATAGTTGGATACACTACACTTATATAACTTTAAATACATACATATTATAAATATCATCTTAGGGTCCTCCAGTCATGGGTGTTTATTGATACTAGTGATCGTTCCGTGGTTAAAAATGAACCTAAATTCATTTGGTGTGATCGATATTGAGATTCTCTTTTCAATATTATATAGATAGCGTATAAAAACCGTAAGAATTTTAAACGGGTCCATAGATTCAGAGATTTGCACGCACAGACAAACAAACTTTTCATCTTAATATTATGTAAGTACTCGTATAATATTGATAAAGATTATCTAACATCACGCAGCATCTTTTAGTAGTGAAGTAATTATAAATAAATAAAATACGCGAGCGGATACGCGGGTAAAAGAAAGAAAATGCTTAAAAACGGGGTTCAAAGTTTTCTCTTATAAACACCCATGACTGGAGTACACACATTCGTTCATGTGAATGCACGAATGTTTGTACAAATGAATGCCCCCAGCGGAACTCGAACCCGCGACCGCTGGTACAGCAAGTAGGATCACTACAAACTGAGCCAAAAGTTTCATCTTTATTCATATATATCTACGCTTTTCGTCCTACGTTACTTATACCTTAACTGGTATTACTTTTAATTTTTACAGAATGTGCGACAGATTTTATTAGAAGACTTTATAAAATAAAGATTTTATTAAAAAAAGCAAATGAATGTAAAAAGGATTTTTTTATGTTTTTGTTCGATGCGAAGTCTGTAACGGTTCAAAAGCTACAACGCTTTAAAAGTAAGACATATAGGCGGAGTGATAGACAGCGTAGGTTTAGTCGGTAATAGGTTCTCGTCCAAGTTATATCTATGTTATGGAACCCTAAACAGCAGAACCTAAACCAACAACCAAGTATTTTTTAGTAATTATAATTTACATTGAACGTATTGAATGCTGTTATAAATTGCATGTACGCTAATCGCAGATGCCACGGTTTCAACGGCGTAACGACTTGATTGTTTTATACTTCACACGATACTCGGTGGGTGAGTGATATTGAAAAATCAGACTCATTTTGTTAGTCTCTGCAGCTCCCACAATATACGATGCGTATATATACATAGTATAAAACAAAGTCGTTGCCTGCCTTTGTCTGTTTGTCCACTTATTTCTTCTAAGCCATGCAACGGATTTTGATATCGTTTTCATTAATAGAAAACGCGAGAAACGAGGAAAGTTTGTGTATATAGTTTGTAAATATTTTATACAAAAATAGTTGAACTAAGACGATTTTTTTTATCAATTTAAAACGTACCTAGACGACGCATCTAGACCTAGGGACGCCGTTTGAAGTAAGGGTATGTTACTAGTATCTATTAACTCATGATTGCCGCGGCTGTTTGCTGTTCGCTCTTCTAAGGGTCGCAGTATGATATAAGTTTGACCATAATAATATAATCTTTTTCAATAAATATGTTGTGCGGCATTAAATTGCCAAAAGATTTTTTATAAAGGATCTCTATCCAAAGAAATTCTCAAACTTGATTTTTGTGCTTACTAATTTTGCAATTTTTAGTATGGATACATGCGAGGTGCTATCGATATATCAACCAAGAGGCTCAGGAAGAATATAAACTCACTTGGTAGTATGGTAGTTAGGATCTCATTCATGACATACACGTACATATGTACCTATACCACTTTTAGCTCTTTAACATCGTTTACTAGTAATCCTTCAGCAAACAAATTAACCCGGCAATAAATTATAGAGAAACAATAAACATCGCATTATAATGAAATTACAAACGAAGAAAAATTGCTTAATTTCTAAATGATAATAAGATGAAGGTGTTTTATGAAATTAAAAAAATATTATTGCCCATTTAATTGCGCAATACTATAATATGTCTGTATTCAGCCCTTTTTAAAGTCCCACTGCTGGGCACGGACTTCACTTCCTTGAGGGGGATCTGGCCGTAGTGCCATAGTCCATCACGCTGGCCAAGCGCGAGCGGACTTTACATGTCTTTCGAAAACTTGCTAGGCTCTCTCAGAAATGCAGGTTTTCTCACAATGTTTTTCTTCACCGTAAGACAAGTGATAATCATGTTGAAAATGATTCGCACATGAAAATATCAGAGGTGTATGACCCGGGATTTGAATAGGTTTTACTTGATTTCCCAAGAGTGCGCGTTACCACTGAACTACCACTGCCTCAATACTATATAATAAGATATAAAAATAATAGAACCCCATGGATATAGGAGAAATATTCGGTATTGGTATACTGGATTTCGATTAATTTCTACCTATACTGTGGCTGTGGCGTGCTCGTGTTTCAATTTAAATCGAAACCACTAGACAATCATACCCTTAGTTAATATGCGACCGCATGTACCGACAGTTTATATAGTCTCAAGTTATATTGGTTAAATTTACTTAAGCTATAATATATGTATGTATATTATGTGCTGTGTATGTGCTTTAGTTAATGTTATATTATACACTAGTGGCTCACACTCGCTTCGCTCGGGTCGTCCCTAGTGGAAAACAAAAATACGAAATAAAAAGGTCTAATAAAAATCTATCTCTATGCCAAATTTCATCCAGATCTGTTCAGCCATTCTGGCGAATTGAGTAACAAACATCCTTCAATCCAAAATTTCACATTCATATAGTAAGATTATATATTATATGATCCGATTAATAAGTTATCACTGCACAAAATTTAGTTAAAATCAGTCCACTACTTTTTACTTGACACGCGCACACCCAAACAGACAAACAGACATACAGACAGAAATTTTAGTAACTATTGTTTGGGGTCTATATTCTGTACACTTGACTTTTTTATTTTTATAATTATTTTACTCTTTGGTTACGACTTATTGCTAAACTTAGACTTAAGTATTAAACGATTTCAGGCCGATTTTTCGGGGACGGTCGTCAACCCCACTGGGTTAAACCAAGATCCACTCACTATTCTGTTTCGCAAAGGGATATGAAGCAAAGATCAGCTCTTTGGTCTCTTTATTATTTAGACGGACCGAAATACCATAAACTACCCAAATTATGAATGTTTCTAAGAATTTCTTAACAGAAAAACCTATGAACTTTTTGTACGCGACCCGGGCCTTGAATCTAGGACTTCAGATCCACATTCGTATGAGCTAACAGTTAAACCAATGACGAATTATTACTATGATAGACGTACAGATTGTATTATATTCCGCTCTAATTATATTTTTTGTTAAAGCGGCGTGTCAAATACTGTAAAAGAGCACGATGAACTTTGCCCTATGGAATAACCATAATATATTATGACGTACCTATAATTGGGTATTGACGAAAGATTATAACTTTATAATCAACAAAAAATATAAAACCATGTCATTATTCCAAATAATTAAAATATTTTAATTAGTTATTAGATAACGCATACGTTTTATATCTGCTGTAAAAAAAAAAAATCGCAAAGTAAAATAAGGCTATTTACAAAAAAAAACCCACTATTAACTCAAAAGATAGAAGTACGAATGTCTTTTAATATAAAAAAAACACGCATATTAAAATAATTAGGTAGATAAAAATACCACAAAAGTTTTTTTAAGACCTACGAGTATATTAGTCCACCAACCAAAAATCTTTTCGGATTTTTTCGCGGATTTATTTTGATTTTTGGTTGCCGACGTTTCGGTTCCCGGGGACGGAGAATCTCTCCCATGACCATGATTGCTATAAAGCGTTTGAAACTTCGGGAACCAAAAATCAAAATACATCCACGAAAAAATCAGAAAAGATAGTTTTTTTTAAATTACTTAATTTTCTTAAATTTAAGTAGCTTTTAAATTTGAAAGTAGTGCAACATTCTTGATAAAGTTGTTCTACAAAGCTTCGTAGCACAATAACATGTCAAGGCCGGTGATTTAAAGCCGTTAAAATTTATTAGATTAGAAAATTCCTAAATTAGATAAACTAATCGAATTGGCCCAATTTTAATAAATCTGATATCAACTTTCGTATCAATACAAGGAAGCAATAGAAATTTGTTGTGTTTAATTAAATTTACAGATTTATTTTATATATAAGATATTATTAGCTGCATTGGCTGCTATGAAAAAGGTCGCTTATTCGAATCCCACGTTGAAATAGTACAAGTGGACTACTTCAAGGACAAATTACGGAGGTAGTTTTATCGGAACCAGAGTCAGAGGTGTGCAACGAATCGGAAGTTCCGACCTTTTTCGTGACATCCCTAACTTAAAGCGTTTGTACTACAATTGCTACTGCAATTTCTATAGAAATTATAAAAGATACTAGGTTACGAGCAAAGTCACAGTAAAAAAGGTAGCAAAAAATAAACTCACTCACTTCGTGTACTGTTATTTTCATTTGTATCTCCAATAGTGCAACGCTATTCTGTTTTCATTTATAAATAGGGCTGTTTCAAGTTTTCTCTTTGTATTTCATTTTAGTGTATTATTGGAATTTTAATTGCCGATTATAATTTTTTTATTGTCCATTATCACTACTTTTACAACATCGGATGAACGTTTTATGTATGAAGGTATTTTATGGATTAGCAATATTAGCAATTTTTATCCGTGGGATATAAAGGTATTACCAAAAAGTATTTAATTCTTTCAATATTTTTGGTAATACCTTTATGAAATGATATGTGATCGTAAGCTGAATGAGAATGAGTCGCCAAAACTGTATCTAAAACACTTTACTATTTAATTATATTTCAAGCGAGGGTACCTGATTTCGTATACCAAGTATATGTCGTCACCTCCGAGAAATTCATCAAATTCATCAAACGTATATGGAAAATGCTCTCCTAATAGTCGTAAATATTATTGAGATACAATAATTTACATTAAAAAAACATTGCAAATTTTCTATTGTACATTAATTAATTGTTTCCGTGGTAACTGGCAACCCTAACCGAGACTGATAAGGTAATTTAATTAACACGTACAAGGTTTTCGCATTCATACACGACAATTAGTTTTGATTTGCAAGTGATATATGTTCCCGTGTTTAGTAATTGTTATATTAGCCGTAAATCGTTTTTTTTTATTACTAAGAATTTTTATAACTTTCACTGTCACTATGAATCTGTAAATTGTCTAAAACAGTAATTATAACTGTTCTGTCCACTTGGGTTTTCCTTTGGGTTTTTTGGATTTTTCGTTTAGTTTGGTCCTATTCTATGCAATAAGTTTATATATGTATATACTAGCGGCTCACCCTAGCTCCGCTGGAGTTTATTCCCAGTTACATTTTATCATTTAGTATAGATTTCTCAGTGATGAGATATTTTCCCGTAGTAAAAAGTACCTATCCTTTTACTAGTTGACCCGGATAACCAGCTATCATCATATCAAATTTCATCAAAATCCCTCCAGTGGTTTTACTTGATGCGTCCAGGACAGATAGATATACAGACAAACAGACATACACAAATTTCAAAAACTAGATAGATTCAGCCTCTGCATTGATAATAATGACTATGACAATAAGATTTTCCAAAAAATATTTAATGTACAGATTCGAAGTACTGTAATGTACAGTACAAAATTCGACTCACCTAGAATTCTATTATATGTACCTATAGATGAAAATATTATAATAAATCAAATATGCGGGGGATACTCACTTGAAACTTCGGTCTATGCTCGTCAACAGACGCACTCAGAGCCCCCTGGTGTTTCATATAGAACGTGTGCTGGAGCACGCACATCCTCCACACGTACTTCCCATCCTCAGGGCTGGGCAGCGTGAACGTGACAGACTCCCCTTGCTTCTGGCATTCGATGCTGAATGTGCGTTTGTGATTTATGACGTTTGTGATATCCATCCACCTGATGAACAAACGCTCTGTAGCTTGATATGGCTAGATATGATTCTCAACCGATATTGAATTGAGAATATTTAGATTTTTGGTACTTTTTTTTGCTTTTTATTTTGGAATAATCATTTAAATTCTAAGCATACAGGTAAAAATCTAAAAATATTATTATTAAGTTGTAGTCATTGTTGCCACGTAATTTAAACGAAAAAAATATTTATATATTTCAGAAAAAATTGAATGAAGGCAAAAACAGATTCATATAGATAATACCTATTAGATATAAATTAACAGCCTTGCTTTGCTACTTTTTTATTTAACACCTGAGTAATATTGTTTTCCAAACAAATGTTGCCTTCTGTTTTAACAATTTTAGAGTTTTTGAGAGAGATTGACGCTATCTACATTGCATACCAGCCCAGGTTTAGAAATTGGGACTGTGAAATGTTAGTCGGAAGATATTGTAGATCGATTCTAAATAAAATAGCACAAACCTATAAAAGTGCGGTGTGTCACTAGTGTCAGTCAAAACTCTGATACCAGTTAGCGATATGGCGATGGTGACTTCGGTCTGATCCTTTTTATCTCTCGCTGTGAACATTTCTTGGCCGTATCCTCTTAACTGCTGGCATGTTGTGATGAAGCCTTCTTCTGCTTGTGCCTGATAACGGAAATTAATTTTAGCCAATGTGGGTGCGGGTTCGATTCCAGGTGCACGTTTGTAACAGTCAATTACTACTAGAATTAAAAAAGTAAAAGTATATTTGTTGGATTTTCATTCTTTTACGCAGCAAATCAATTCAAAATATTTTATTCAGCATTAAATTATTACAATTTTTTACTGAACGTCATGAGTCTACTACCAGTTCGGAAAGAAGAAGCCTCAGACCTGAGAAGAACTGGCGAAAGAAACTATATCAAGGTGGTTTTTCCACAAACTAATCCAATAAGGTGGAGAGTAAAGTATGAATAACCAATCTCTTGATTATCAATTATTATGTGGTTTCTTAGAATATCATCTTATTGTATAGTTACTTCGCAGATAGGGTGTTAGCGAAGCGCGAACGGGTCATATATCGTATTATATACATGAAAGTTAGTGAGTGTGTGCTTGATATTTCCTCTAAAATCATAGATTAATATAGTCTATTTTTACATACATAGTGAACATAGGCACTTGGCCCTTTAAGGCTTAAGCAATAAGCTTTATTGCGGTCTTTTGTAAGTAGTACTTATAGTAGATAGAGAAATCTCGATAATGTTTAGTTATTGAATACCGCGCGGAATGCAGTTTGAGCCTGACCCAAAGCGTGAGTTATACATATGAATATACATAAATATACAGCCGAGTACTTTATAATTTAGTGATTTTTTGGGTAAAGCTTGGTTATTTTGCAAGAAAACAATGCCAGCTAAGATATTTATCAATACATACAGTCGTTAAAGGTCTTTAGTGTAACATAAAATAACAACTTAACAATTTATCTTGTTTTTAATTGTTATTCCATACATTATATTAAAATTTTGACTTATTATTTAAGTGGTTACATTTTCTTCTTTATATTATAGTATAATAAAAAGTTATCATAACGATGGATCTTGGGGATAACAGAAAGAAAGTATAGTGAATTGCACTTTGTTCCACACATGTCAAATATCAATTAAAATTGTTTAGATTGGAACAGAATCGAACCTGAGAACACGCATATTAAGCACCATTAACTCATACAAACATGACATATTTATACTATGCAACAATATTTATATATTTTTTAATTACATTAAAATATATAATGATATAGAAATTTCTCGATATTCTTATAATCTCTAATTTACTAAATAATAAGAGATGCGTCGTCTTATTTATGTAATATGTTACAAATTAAACTAAATAATAAATATACTTGTATTAAGCCCTTTTTAAAGTCCCACTGCTGGGCACGGGCCTCCCTTTAATACGAGAGATCAAGCCATAGTCCACCACCCTGGCTAAGTGCGGGTTTGTGGACTTCACATGTCATACTCACAAGATTTTCACCGTTAAATATACGTATCTATATTAAATATTATAAATGTGAAAGTTTGTGAGTATGGATGTTTGTTACTCCTTCACGCCAGAACCGCCAGACCTGCCGTCGGGGCGTCGTAGTTGAGTGCGTAAGCTATCCTGCGACACCCCATTAAGACGGGGGAAGGTTTTGTTGGGTTTTAGTGGGTAGTACTGGCTTTATTACGCCGGTGAGTCCCACACCTCGTGCGTAAATGCAATTTCCAAAGATAAAAAAAAAACTTACATAGGCTACTTTTTATCCTGGAAAAATATACGGTTCTCGAGGGATAGATTTGTTTTTGTTTTTCTAGAGGCGAACCCGAACGAAGCGAGGGTGAGCCGCTAGTATACTTATATGATATATGTGTATGTATAAAACTTAATTGAACAACATACTTCCATCTATTTAACAACAGAGTTAAATATTACTGCAATTGATAATTACATTAGTAATGTTTGCAGTAAACATTTGCATTCATAATTTATTGCACAGTGCGGTGGAGACAGCATTGGATATGTGAAATTGTCACGTGAATAATTAAACACATATGATAATACTATCATTTTGCTTATTAATTTGTTGTAACCGTAAGCAAATATATTAACGTCCCACTGCTGGGCACTGGCTTGTCTTCATATGGTTGATGAGGGGGATCAGGCCATAGTCCACCAGGCTGGCCAAGTGCGGGCGGACTTCACATATCTTTCAAAAACTTGCTAGGTTCTCTCAGACATGCAGGTTTTCTTGCAATGTTTACCCTCACCATAAGATAATTGGTTGTTGTGTTGAAAATGACTCGCACATGAAAATATGAGAGGTGAGAGACCCAGGTTTTTAGATTTTATTCTTTTGAAATTTGAACACGCTTCACTTGGTTATCTAAAAGAAAGCGTTACCACTGGGCTACCAAAGCAAATATATGATAAAAAAATCGGTTATGGGCAGTTGGTGGTTCAAATCTTACAGGAAGATGTTTTGCATTAGATTTAATTCTCTAAAACATATAATCATTGGAATAGATTACCTAGAAAAATGTATAAAAAAGATATATTCACCACTATAGTAAAAAATTGAAAATTAAAATAAAGTAGAAGAATATGTACACTATTAATATCATGTGTTTATTTCACTGTGTGTAAAAAATCTTTTCCATTTATATGATAGATGCTTCTAAAATGTAAATTAACTACTTTTCATGTGACATGACATCATCAAAACCTTATTACTCACTATCTAGATTCTATAAAAAAATGATTTTTTTTATCTTATATTTTAGCCAGGGCTCCGAACTGGTTAAAAAAACAATGGTTTATTTCGGTAATGTAATGATTTATTCACTCATTCTTTAATATATTAATGAAAACGAATGGTTATTCTTAGAGAAAGGTTGGATTTGAGTTTTGATACTGAAAAAAACCATTCAATTTATCAATAAGTTAGAAACATACATGTATCCTTCTAAGAATATCCTTCTTAATCCTTAAAGAATATAACCTAAACCTTAAATCGAAAAGCCTTTCAGTTTGGAGTTAATGACCAAAACAGTATAAAAATTGAACAGGTGTCCGAGCTCTAGTTTTAGTTACAGAATTTATAAAAAAAAAAATAAAGAGATATTTTAATAGTATTATTGTGCATCTTATATTATCAAAGGAATCAGGGAAAGGCTCAGGCTATTGACTTCACTGTCACAATATGCATTATGCAAATACATATGTGAAAGTAGTGGATCAGTAGCTTCCTATTGTATTTATTTATCTTATCATATTATAGACTTAAGAAATTATATTTATGATATTGATCAATTACATTTTTATACTGTAAATGGGAATTTTCATCATCTGGTTGCAAACCCTTAATCTTTATATTACTTATAGATATAAAATATTATATTTGAACAAGTATATAATATATGTATTGGAATAACAATAAGGTGAAGTAATGTGAAATCTCAACTTCATTGAAAAAATCTAGGATTTATTTATAAGTATATTTAAATATATAAAAAAATTATAACTTATATGGGAGTAATAAAGATTTAGTAAAACAAAAAAAAACAGCAGAAAAACAAGTATTAAGAATTAGTATTTAAGTAAGTAAGTATTTAGAGTATAGTTTAGAATTGGATTTACACTGAATTTAAAATTTAGTTTATAATTCTATTAGCTATTATTTATATATTGATAAAACATTACCTGAGACATATTGTGCAAGGACATATGATGCTGAATTACTGCTGCTGTCAACCACTCCAGTCTTCCTGTTTCAGCTAATGTGCTACTATCAATTATTTGACCACCATCTAGCATTTGCTTAGGAAAAGTCAGTAGATTCTTCAAATATTCAACTGTATGGCGCTCCCTGTCATGATTTCCATATTCAGCTTGTCGACTATATGAAGCAAGTACCACTGCTTGTTGACAGTCACAAATAATACGACCTTCCACCAAATCATTTTTCAGTTGTAGAAAATAGTGGTAACGTGTCACTTCATCTGTGATCAAACTCGTGCCAGATATCACATAGTACATAACACGCAAGTATAGCTGATGGGAAGATGCGAACTTGTCCAATTGGAGTTTTAACGGCCGGTCCAATTGAACCCATCGTGGCTGCTGGCTTCGATTTAAGTAGCGCAGTCCAAAAAATTCTGGTTGATTGAGTGTCTGTCTCTGGCATACGTTGTCCAAACATTCTTGTCCTGTGCTGTCTACTGACAGAGTACAATCTGCAACACCCCCATCCAGTAGTTCGACACTTATCACAAAAAGACTCTTCGAAGCCACATTATACTGCCGCGTCTTCTTCAACTTCAGCTTAAACGGCATCTTTCCAGGTCCCAATTCGCAATAACATCACGAAACAAACGTTACGTTATACATTTATGGCACAAGAATGTAGAGGCTTGCATCCGTTACGCGCGCCACATATTTATGTAGTTCCGATTTAGGATTTATATTTATGACCTGTATTAGTTATGTGCTAAAATGGTTTCGCGAGCACGGTGACGTATCTATCGGACGGATAGCTATAAGAAATGCCAAGTAAACATCAAAATATACGAAAATCACAATATTGCGGCCATCGCGACTCGCGAGTGACATGACAGTTGACATTAACTGTGTTGCCAGTTGCCACTTGCCATTTGCTTGACGCTCGTCCGCTTAATTTATACGATGCATTCGCTTTAAAGACATTTTTAATTTTTAATAATAATATGTTGTAAATTAACTTTGTTAATCTTTTACTATCCTATATTTTATTTATAAGATAAATTAAAAAAATACGTGTGTGTGTTTGTGTGTGTACTTATGTACGCACGTAAGGAGTTCAACTTCTCTGGCGTATCAGAACAAAAATAGCTAAAGATTTCATCCCGTATGTCACAACTCTCTGTTTGTAAAAGGAATGCAGCTAACTTCATCATGTCCCTTTTTGGCTGTCGGTGTGCGCGCGCATCGTAAAAATTTTACTCTCATATTTTTTTCCAAACATGCCAAAAGAAGTACCTATTTATAACTTCAAAAAAGTTGATAAGTTATATACTCGTAGTTGTGTCATCAATCATCATACAGTAACTGCATTTTAATTAGCATATAAGTACTACTTTATATGGCTAAAAAAATAATACCTACCCTTCTACATAATTCCAATATATATGTGTAATATGAATGAAATGATATCCAAATGTTTATTAACTTTCAATATTGAATTTTATTGCAAAGAATAAACATAATGCAAATAATATCAGCAAAATAACTTCTTTTTCTATAAATTCACTTATAAAGAATAGAAATATATAATAGATTATTAGTGAGTCCGAAATAGTTTTATTGGGAAACATCTATTGTTGACGAGCCTTCGCTTCTCTTGGCCCGTGCGTTTTTTTTTATTGTGCATTGGTACCGCCATCTGTTGGCAAATATAACCAGCAATAAGCCACAAACTAATAGAAATGATATTGATACCGCATCAATAAGCTATAAGCCTAGTCACTAGTGTTTCTCCAGTTTATAGTCTATCTGCGTACACGCGGTGTGCACACAATAGTACCGTGATTATTAGTCCAGGAATTCATATATTGTGTTTAAATATATTTTATAGTTATTGCCTCTCTTTAAAAAATAAATTGACTCCATGTGAACTATTATTAATAATAATAATGAGAACAGATAAAAATCTTTTTGAATGTGACTAAGTAAGATAAGACTTCTATACTTTTTTTTAACCAAAACTTATTACTTTGTCATCTGTGAATACTTTCATGTAAACAGAAAATCAAAAACATTTTTTTTCGTCATAATAAAGAATTGAATTAACCTTGAATAGTCTAATTATTATATCGGAAATTCATATGGTACTTATTAATGAGGAATATTTTCTCCAACAAAAATAAAAATAACTGAAAAACATGTTATTAGAAACCTGGTATTGATTTAAAAGTAAATTATATTTAAAATAGTTTTAAATAGGGGAAAATAATAATTAAAATAAAAACTGTAAATAATTTATTATCTATAAAATTACTCATATAAATATATTTTTACATCAAACTGTTTGCCGCCACCAAGAAAACATACTATAGTATGTTATAAGATAACCAACTCACTCACAGGATCTTCAATCATATGCAGATAATGTTATTTTAAATTATAAACACTGTTGTTAACAACTGACTGTTTACGGTCAATACAAAAATGGCACCAAATGTCTTAAAATATTTTTAACAAAACATTAGTCAAAACCACACCCAAATCGGTTAAGGCGTTTATGAGATCAGCGCGCACAAATGGACAGACAAACAGAAAAAAATCTAAAAACAATTGTTGTGGGTTCTATTGCGTTAATAAAGACCCCCAATAATAGTTTTTCTCAAATATCTTCCATGTACAGACAGCGATCAGTTACAAATTTATTATATGTATAGATATAGATTTAATAATTTCAAACATGATTTATTTATAAGTATCTACTTTTTCACTCTTTTTTATTTATAAAAAAATATCTCTTTAGATTGCCACTTTTGTGCTGAAAATTACTTTAGACTAATATAGTCTATGCGGCTTTACTCTTCATTTCCTCTATATTCAGCCAGTCCCTTGGCTCCTTTAAGACTTTCATTAATTTTTCTTCTGGCGAATTTGGCTTAGGCTCGTGCATATACTCCCATTTCTGCGAAAAGAAATAACTCATTCAACATAAACACAACATAGACATCTCTGCTTTCAATGATCATAAATGAACGTTTTTACTTTTTAACCTAACAAATGATATTCGACTTTTGACAAATTAATTTGGTGTATTACATATTTATGTAACACAGTATTTAAAAAAATCTAATTATATTAAAATAAATGAATTAATAAAAATATATGTTTTTAAGCAAACTTCGAAAAAGAAGGTGTTAATCGAGTACATGTTTTTTTTTGATATTCACACCATTTGAATTTTGAAGTGCTTGTTTGTAAAGTCAAAATAATAGTTTTTTACTAAATATGTACATATGAAATTATGTTATACTTAGGCTACTTTTATTTTAGAAAAAGAATTAGGGTACTGCACAAAACAAATAAAACCCATGAAATTGTGAAGAAAATCCACTCACCCAGGGACGCACCCAAGTGAGGGTAAGCCGGTAGTAATGTTGTGTATTTAGCCCTCTTTAACGTCCCACTGCTGGGGGCGGATCAGGCCGTACCCTACCATTCTGGACAAGTGCAGGTTGGCGGACTAAACGTCTTTCGAAAACTTACTAAGTTCTCTAAGACATGCAGAGTTCCTCACGATGTTTTCTTTCACCGTAAGGCAAGTGGTAATCATGTTGCAAATAATTCACACATGAAAATATCAGAGGTGCGAGACCCGGGATTTGAACCCGCTTCATTCGGTTTTCCAAGTAAGCGTGTTAACACTGGGCTACCACTGCTTCAGTAATGTTATATGATAACTTAAATGTAAGAAAGTGTTCAACTCACAGCATTCAAAGGCAGCGACATGAGTATGGACTCGTATCTGGCGCCGGGCGTGTGCAGGCCGAACTTGGTGCCGCGGTCGTAGATGAGGTTGAACTCCACGTAGCGGCCGCGCCGCAGCAGCTGCCACTGCCGCTCGCGGTAGCCGTACGCGGCGTCCTTGCGCTTGCGGACTGGGTTATATATAAAAAATATATTATAGGACATCAGGACCGATTTCAGTCGCGGCGGCAAATCTCACTGAGACTAACCAGCGCGGGAGTTAATATAGTGTACGTGAGTGTGTGTAAGAGAGAGAGAGATAGATAGAGGGAGAGGAGAGATATAGATAGAGAGGGAGAGAGAGCGAGATACATAAGTTTGAGAACCTAGTGCGAACGCAGAACTAATGTAGTGGAGATATAACGATGTTGTACACCATCAAGTCTCACTAGCTAACTCACCAATGGGCATGTAGCTGGGCACGACGGCCTCAGCGCAGGATGTGACGAAGCGGAAGGCGCCGGCCTGGTCGGGGTAGTCCACGTCGTCGAAGAAGATCCCGCCCACGCCGCGCCGCTCCGCGCGGTGCGAGATCGTGAAGTACTCGTCACACCATTTCTTGAATCTACAACGGATTTGTGTTACGAAACTAGTTTCACGTGAAAGGAAATTATGGAACTAGTTTCATGTGAGATTAAATTTTAGCACTACATAGTTTCATGTAAGATGAAATCACGAAACTAGTTTCATGTGAGTTGAGACTAATTCCATTATGCACTAGTTTTAATAACTAAACTACATAACTAGTTTCATAATTTATTTATTGTAGTGAAATCCTCTTAGCCAGTACCTACCGTGTTATAAACTTTATATTGTATGCACACAGAAATTAGTTGCGTGACATTAATATATGCGAGGTTTAATTATTATTTTCCATTGATTTACTTTATAAAGTGACAATAACGCTTGATGGATATAATTATAACTAACGCTTGTATTTAATATAGTTTTATTTAAAAAAAATAAAGTTTGCGACTTTACGACAATATTTAAACTTTGAATACAATAATTAAAAAAAACTAATAAAACTGGCCAACAATCGAAGTAAGTTACCATACGTTCTCTGTTGTAAAACTTAAAGAAAAACAAGTCGATTAATTATTTTAATGTACCCGTAGATAGTTTTAACTCACTTCTCATAATAAGTCGGATCGTGGGAATCGCACGCGTGTTTGAGGGTGAGGTGGAAATGCACCGCGTCTTCTTCATTCAAGTAATATGGAGTCAAATCAGTTCCGCCTCCAAACCACCAGTGCACCTCTGAAAATATACTTAATACATTATTTTCTTACATATAAACTTTAAATACAAAACTACTTATAGGCAGTGTATAACCAAGTGGTAGAGTGCACGCTTGGGAAATCGAGTGAAGCAGGTTCAAACCCGGGTCTTATACCTCTGATATTTTCATGTGAGAATCATTTCTAAATGTGAAGGTGAATTAAAACATCGTGAGGAAACCTGCATGTCTGAGAGAACCTAGCAAGTTTTCAAAAGACATGTGAAATCCGTCAACCCGCACTTGTCCATGGTGGACTATGACCTGATCCTCCTCATATTGAAGGGAGGCCCGTGCCCAGCAGTGGGACATTAAAAAGATCCCCATACAATACATTAAAATAGTATTTTACAAAATTCAAACGCATGGTTGTGACTAAGTCTGACATTGAAACGTGAGAATATTTTATATTTACCATTTTTATCCTTAACTTCAAAATATCTATAGTTAAAGTGGATGGTGGGCACCATGGGGTTGCGCGGGTGGATGACGGCACTGACGCCTGCCGCGAAGAATGGCAACTCTTTATTTTCGAAGTTTTTACCTCTGAAGGGACAAAGCATAAGTAAAGTATATTTTAGCATATAAGTTGCATAATCGAATATATTAAATTGTCGTGTTGCAGTGTTTGTAACAAAACTCCTAAGAAACGGCTTGACCGATTCTTATGAAATTTTGTGTATATATTTAGTAGGTCTGAGAATAGGACGTAAACTATTTTTTATCCCCTAAATAATAAGGGTGGCCCACCCCAAAAAAATTTTTTTTATTTTTTGGACAAAAAAATTATTTTAATTTTTTTATTATTCGGCATTAAAAAATACATACAAACCTAAATTTCTGCTAGGGACGAGCTCGAGCGGAGCGAGGATGAGTCCCTAGTATTAAAATAAAGTTACATTTTGTCGTTTTGTTGTGTGTGGCTGGATAGATTTAAATGAAATTCAGAACATAGATAGAACTTAAAGTAAAACATAAGCTGCTAGGCACTTAGGCTTGCGAGGGTGTCGTAAAATGCAAAAAAATCCAAAATCATATAATTATTAATAAAAAATCAATGGAGCTTAATTAATTTTTTTGATGTTTTTTAAGTTTTTTGACGTTTCAAGTTAACTTCTATCATCATATCTTCAGTCAGTCAAAAAATCGGGCACTAAAAATCTAAATAAAACTAAAAATTTAATGTTATTATGAAAAAGTCAAATATTCGCATTAATCTTAGAATGCACTATACAACTTAAACAAATCTCACCTGCTCTTCATCTGCTGAACAGCTTGAGGTGGCAGTTTTCCAGAAACGACAGAAATATTAACACCAGCCTTCTCAAACACTCTGCCATCTTGCAACACGCAAGTGATACCACCGCCGCCTTCCTCGCGAGTCCATCTGTCCACTTTGAATTTTGCTTCCTATAATTGGAATTATTGTTTATTTTTATAGTACAAAATGACAGATATGTAATCTTTTTAAATGTAATAGTAAAACTATTATGCAATTTAAAGCTTTAAAATGTGAGCGTACCGGCGATGGCAAGAATATGTCGTTGTCAAAATCATATTCATCTGCTGTTTTTTCATCTTCCCACGCCTACAACGAAAACATTCTCTAGTAAAATGGAATAAGTAAAAAGAACGAAATAATGGTTAAGTGGACTTTGGTTGCTTAGAAATAGTCTTAATAGGTGGTAAGGACCAGTTATTTCTAAATTTTATACCTTCAATTGTTCAATTTTTATTAAATTAATTCAATTTTTGGAATTCATTTTGTTAATTGTGGGTAGGCTGTCTGTAACAACTATATAATACCTTAGAGACATCTAACACCTCAGTCTCTCCCTTGACCATGATTGCTGTAAAGCATTCGAAACGTGGGGAACCAAAAATCAACAAAATAAATTCATGAAAAAATCCGAAAAGATACTATTTAAAATTATTTAAAATAGTTCAATCGTTGTTATTGTTTATTATTTAAGAAAATATATATTAGTGAGTATAATAACTGTACTAGTTTTATTTTTAATTATTTTATATCATATGTGTGCTTAACTTCCAAACATAAAATATATAGTTTTTTTAACACAGTTTTAAACTTGACAATGGCATTTACTTTAGATAATATGTAATATCCTTAATCCTTTATTACCTTGTCTTCCTCTTTCTCCAAGGCCCTACAGAACTCCGCTTGAATTCTCATGATAAGAAGTTCCATTTGTGTTTTCATATCATCTTGGTTATTTTGTAACTGTTCTAAGGGAGTTACAGGTTCGGCCATGTAGTTCTTGATTTGTATTATTTCTTTCATTTCTGCTTTACTACTCAAATACTGTCTGTATGTTACATATCCGGCACCCAATATTGCTGCACAGTAGAATCTGAAGTAATAGTTTTCATTTTATTTCTATATACATATACAAATTGCATACATTATTTATATCTAGATTTGATATAAAGATTAATGAATTTTGCATTTATTTGTTAAAAAATATTAGGTTATGTCAAAAACAATCATATTTAAATATATAACTCATGTAACATTTCCCTTACAAACATCATACAACAAAGACAAAAAAACTAAATTTATAAAAACTATGCCACACAAGAAGTCTCCATATAATATTTATGTATAGTGCTAGTTTGTCATGTGTATGTACCTACCAAACTTGGTCTTAATAATATTTAATGATTAATTCTGATTTTTATTATATTGATGCCATTCATTCATTTCTAATGTAACAAAAGGATCGTATTATATAATAGAAATTAATTTTCCATTATATTTTTATATTAAAGTTTCCAATATATTTTTAATCCAAAGAACTAAATAAATGAAATGAGGATATTATGTCGTGGGCTTATCAGATAAACAAGATTAAGGAGACTACAGTGAAATCTACGTTGTCATAATTATAAGTTATTCCAATAAGAAAAAAGAATCGTATTTGCTGTTTATTACTTAAGTGCAAGCGTCAGATCAATTTACGGATGTTTACAGTAAAGCAATCCAGTCATTATGACAAATAAACTTACTTTAGTGGCCGATCTCTTATTTTCTTATAGCTTCCAACGTAGGTTAAGGTTCTAAAACTTCTTATAGCCACTTTAAACGACATATTTATTAATTATTAATTACGAATATAAAACACCGGCAGTAACCCTTTCTGTGCAAATACCACTCTATGAGTCTGTCATTGACAGATTGTGATTTGTGTCACTGTGTGATTGCAGGGTGACGTTTGTGTGACAGATGTCATAATAACTTTGTTTTTGCAATGCGCGCCACCTGGCGGCAATGTATTCAGCCTATCAGCTGTAGAATTTTCCTCCGCAATCGTATAGAAACCTGCATGCGCAATATGTGTTCATCTCTTTTCCTAGCACGTGCGAGGTCAATTTCGTCCGCGCTCTCTCTCAGTCCGCTGTTTGACGGCGTGTCAGAAAGAACGTAGGTTGTCGTCCGTGTAGTGCGCTTGTGTATCCCGTATCGATCTGTAGTAGACCGCATTGCCGTACATTCCGGAGGTGCCTCGCCTAGTTTTCGTCGATTGTCGGCGTGGCGCGTGTCGGCGTCGGCGGCGGCCCGGGGCCCTGCGCAGAAACGGCGCGGGAGCGATCTTCTTCAGCCAAAACCGGCTCGCGGGTCGCGGCGGACGGCTGTGATGTAGCCGGGGCCGGCGAGCGGCCTTCGGACAAAGGATACGCGATACGAAATGAAGAAGTTCACGTTCAAGGGGGTGCTGGACGGGTTCCGCAGCTCCGTACAGGCGGCGCCGCGCGGCAACGAGCAGGAGATACAGGAGACGCTGCGGCCTGATCACTTCCAGATCAAAAAGGTGAGTTTCGCGAACGCGAGTCGAGCAGCCGAGCTCGAAGGCCGACGGTAGTGGGGACGGTGGCGAGGTGGTGGCGTATTTACACCGGCTCGCACCGCCCGACTCGCGTGCTCGGTGTTGTGTAAACTACGGTCCGTTGACACGAGATCCCCACCAACCAAAACATTGGCGTTTACGATCGCTTCGCTGATTTTTTATCGTGTATTCCGTTATACTTGAGTGGGAGGATTCATTTGATTAGTAAAGCGATAAATTGACATTGTTCCGCTCTGACATCTGACGTCAGCGTGCCCTTGGCCATGTCATATGTTACTTGTTAGCACAGTAAACATGTAATCTCTCCGGCTTGCATCGATACGTGCTCCCATTACCCAATTCTTCTATTTCCTGAATTACGTTGTGTTTTATGGTGGATGCGATGAATAACCGAGGCCTTGTAGGGCGTAAGTGGCAGAATTGCTCCGATATTGAACTGATAAAAGATTAGATAAAAGCTGCACTCAATAATACGTAATTTTTTTCATAAATCATTATTATTTTTCCATGCAGCTTTTTTAATTTATAAAATGCATAAAAAGTTTTTATTAAAACTCTTTCCGCTATTGTCTTATCTGTTATTCCACATGAAATTTGATTTTAGAATTTACCTGTTCGCAGTTGGATATGTCAATTGAAAGAAATACATTTTTATACATCATTAACCTTTTATCTGACGTGATTTAGTACTTTAGCAAAGCAAGATAGATAAAATTTGTTCCACATGGATAGCTTGGTAATTAGGTTGTCTTAAAATTCCATTAGATAAACTGGGTCAAGGTACTAAGTAAAAAATTGCCCCGCGAGGAGTCGACGGCTCACGGAACTGTTTGCAAACCTTTTAACTATGCACTTTTATAACTTGCGTAAAGATCGCGTTTTTGTTTCATAGTTACTATACAATTGAAAATAAAAACTGGGGCATTCTATATCGGGTCAGTACCGACGGTAAAATACCTTTAAAAAAGAAAAAGATCGCTATATTATGATTTATGAATGTAAAAGAACTTATTTTATTTATAACAAAAGTAAAAATATTTCATTTGAAATATAGATTAAATAATAAGGATCACAAATAAACAAACTTGTTGAAGATCTCTAAGTTGGTCTGGCCATCGTTTATTTTCAACTATATCATTGAATGTTTGATCTCCGATCTTATGTCGAGAATCTTTTTTGAGTATAGCCCATAGAAGGATATTTATAATTTCTAAATGGATTTTCTTTTTTGCTCTCAATCATTAGATCTTTGCAGTAAATTGTTTTGCAATCTCCCTTAAAGGAATGAAAGATCTCGTAAGATACGGTTCAGATCGTTTGATCTTGAAGCTTTCAGAAGTTTCATCCAATATTTACCCTCTTAATTATATATCTAAGCCAATTTTGGATATACTGTAGGAAAAAACGAATTCTTCACTCACAATGGGCGGTGGCTATTGACTTTTTATTCGACTACATTCCGATTACAAACTTTTCCAGTAGTCTGAAAACTTGGCTCTTTATCATAGTCTCGCGTGTCATTTGCCTTTTGGAATATAAACTAACTTTTCGATTATACGATCACTAGTATTATTTTTTATAAAACCTTCATCGTATTTTTAAATTTAATCTTAAAGGCGACTCAGTAATGTTAAGTATCTATGAAGTATTCAAGTTTCCTCTTAACAGAGTCAATGCAAAATGTCACTTTAAATAATTTATTTTAAATAAAATGACCATAAATCAAAGTTATTATTGAATTAAATAAAGCAAACTGTAAAGATTGACTATAACAGTTGCATGGAGCGGCGCAGGGTTAAAGTAAAATCAAACACGTTTTGATACTGTATATACAATATATGTACATGTATAATCACTGTAATAATCGATTACGATCTTTTAAAATTAATATAGATATGTATTTAGAAAAAAGTGTTTCACAGGTGTTACTAAAACATGTCAAAACAGACGGTTATAATATAATATTTAGTATGGTTATTGATAAAATAAAAATAGAAATATGCAAGGCATAAGGTTTTTAGCTATTAATTATTTAAATAAAATATTATCCAAAAAACAAATACCATCTATAAAGAAACATAGCTTTATCCTAATTTGGACATTTAAAATTCATAATAATTATACGCAGTAGTATATTATTACGTAAAGCAAATAACACAGTGTCGTATAATATTTTATTGAAGTCGCGTTGGGAAACAGTTGTCAAGATAACAAAAATTTTTAAAACAAATACACGTGTCGTGAACGATCAATGCCATATTTGTTAATGGCGTTTATTTTTTAAATTGCTAAATGTACTAACTGTCAAATAATAGTGAAATCATAAAAAAAATGTTACCAATTTTCGTGAAGCAGTTTTTTTTATTTTTAAATTTAATATAAAACCGAAGTAATCGTGCATTTGCAATACAAAGCCCACTTTTAAAAGTCCATTTTTACTAAACACAGTATTGCCAGCTTGAGGGGAAGTTACCCTGGATTCTCTTCTGAGAAGAGTTATCCTTCCTAATCTTATAAAGAAACTGGAAGAAATGCAAAAACAAAGGTTGAGTTGAGTTGAGCTGCACTAGAGCAGTTATAAATGAATCAGATTTTGTTTATTTTTATTATAAAAAAATAATTTAACTAAAACCATCAGTCATCAGAGTTAGTAAGTATTTTTTTACGTTTCAATCGGCTAAACCTATTAGCTGCACTAAAGAAATTTAAATAATAATACTTTCTTAGATTTACGCGTTTTTAAAAAAATCTCAAATGTAACTAGATTATAAAAATAGTAACCCAAATTATATATTAACAAATTATTAAATTATAGAAGCATTACTTGAAAATTGCAAATTAGCTTGATCAAAGTTGTTGGAAATGTCAATATTTTCTGTTAACCACCGGCACGATGGCCCTGTTGAAATCTACGAGTATTTTAGAATGGTATGTACATTGTACACTTATTATAGTCAATATATAACATAATTAGAGAATTCATAGAATACAATATACAATACAAGAATACAATAACAATAACATATTAATTTTAAAAGTAAATAGGTAGGTACTTTTTTTCTAATTTTTTTTTTAAATATTCTATCGAGTTAATTAAAACTTATAAATGTTCAATAATAATTAGCGAAATAGGAAGTTAAAGAATGGTAATAAAAAAAAGATTATAACATAAAAGAAATAGACTTGTTTTTACAACTTTAGCCTCTGTGTCTGTCTTTTTAATTCCTCTCAACAAAATGATTGCACTATTGAAATGCGATCATCATCTCCCTGCCCATTTCCCAATCACTTGGGGTCTGTGCAGTACATCTTTCTACTGCCGATAGGATTGGCAAAAGTTTTACGACCGGCCGACTGTCTGACAACCCTGCTTGGGAATGCTATTGTTTATCGCGGAAAGGACCCAAGGTGCGATTGCGCTATTGAAATAATAGGCATCAAATGGATTCCTTTAACATACTAGAAATATTTTTTATTTAAAAAAAATATATAGGTAGGTACATACTTTCAAATCTAAAATTTTATTTAGTAGTATGGATTCTTTACTTTTTTTAACATTATGGTCTAATGAGCGTTAATATTGAAGAGAAATAGTACTTATGTTTTACGTGAGATTACATATAGGTATGATATAGCAATCCTAGCTGTGCCAATACGCATGATTGGTAACTAAATAGTCCAATAACTTGCCAAATCATTAATACAGCAGTGATATATCTAGAGGGCATTTACAATTCATGGATACTGAGATTTAGCATAGAATTCACACATAACTTAATTGAGATCAATAACACGTGTCACGCCGGCTATTAACGTGTCGGGACCTCGCATGCCTCGTCTGGATGATATCAGCGCATTAAACTATCTTTATGGTCCATCTCCGACATATTACTTACTGATGGACTAGCGACGTCCGCCCACGCTTCGCTTTAGCCCTAATAATTTAGATTATAGATTAATAAGATTGTGATTTGATACTAAACTTATCTATGTCAAAGTTAGAAATATCTTCGTCTTTCCATCTTCTAAATAGGTATATAAATATCCCGTGTCACGGTATTTGTGATCGCACTCCTCAGAAACGGCTCGACCGATTTTAATGATTTTTTTTGTATATTTGGTAGATATGAGAATAGGTCGTAAAGTATTTTTCACCCTCCTACCCCCACCCCCCATTTCAATCGCGATTTTAGTATTTTTGTATGAACAATATATAAATACATAGCGACGAACCCGAGCGAACCGAGGGTGATTAAACGCGGGCATAGCTGCGGGTTCTGCTAGTAACATAATAATTGAATAACAATGTTTAAAAAGAACACTATCTTCGCGGTCATCGATCCTATATTAATGGAATAAAAAACCTTTTGTTTCTTGAATTCAAATGTACGTACAATTTTGACTTAATTAGTAAGTATTACGATTAGTATAATTGGATTTTCGTACATAATACATAGGTATATGAATTAAGGCGACAATCAAATCTTTTTAAATCTTATTAATGCATAAATAATTAATTAAATGATATTTATGTTTATTTAATTAAACTTTCACAAGTACTTTTGAATCATGAATTAAATATGTAGAGTCAGTTTAGTTCGTCCGTGAGGAAGCTACTACCGACTCGGAATGTACTCGTAGCTCCGCGGAAAAGAGTCGGCGAGAAACTCAACAGTTGCCCTTTTAAATGGAAGTTACAGTATTTTTACTACAACATCAAGTCCAGCCCGCATATGACTCAATTTCTCTTACTTCTCTTTCTTCTCTACTCTTCTACACATTTTCATTAACAAGGCGCAACTCTTGAAGGGAATTACTTAGTAATATATCTTTAAGCTTTAAATAGTTGAAAAGATACACAGGATAGTTTGTAAGATTTTATTTAACATACTAGCGATTCACCCTCGTTTCGCTCGGGTTCGTCCGTAGATAGTTTTATCGGTTAGTATAGATTTTCAGAGACAAGATATTTTCTCGCATTAAAAAGTATTCTATATGTTAACCCGTCACGTTTTAACGTTTAGTATAGACGTCCCAGGGATGAGATATTTTCCCCGCAGTAAAAAGTATCCTATATGTTGACCCGGATAATCAGCTATACCAAATTTCATCAAAATCTGTCCAGTGGTTTTCTCTTGATGCGTTCCTAAATAGAAAGTTCAGAATATTTGTGTGGGTGCAACAGAATGATATGACAATAGTTATGACATCGTAAAAAATCTGAACTTTTTACCACATATAGGTACATATTTTCACGTAATATTATAGTCGATTGTTAGCAATTTAAAACTAATTAATAGATAATGCGCACTAAACCCAATCAACAACGCAATAATTACTGTAATACTTATTGGATAATTGGTAAAATACTTAGGTAAAACATGTTTTAAAAACTTTGATAACCATCTAGTATCTACACTATAATTTTATAAAGAGCTATTAATTATTACAGATCTGTTTATAAAAGAATCTTTCAATTTTAGAAGCAACATTTGGTACTTATAAAAAAAACAAAAAACAAAATCTGTTTTCCTGATATTATATAGCGCCGTTCTCGTTTTAGAGAACGTTTTTTTTTAAATAAATTTTCACGTGCAAGCATCGAACTCGCTAATTAAGACGTAGACAAAGCCAGTCAAAAGTAAACCCTGCCATGAACTGCATCTATTTTTATTTAATCTGGACGTCTGTTGTAATAGAGTTAACATTTTTAGATAAACGCTAATAACCCATTTATTTATACAGAACTCATCGAGGATCCCGGCAGCTATCTCATTTAAATGCAACGAAACTAACAGTATATTTTTAAAGTAATATCCGATAGGGAAAGAAAATTATTTATGAATTTTAGCGAAATTTCTTTTGTAATAAATGGCCGAGATTGAAATATTGCAGCAGTGACAGCCTTATAGCTCTAATGAAGGTAATAAATAATGTACGTTCAAACGTCATATTTCTGTATTGCATTTTTCATGATAGAACCAAAAGCGCTTTTAGAAAAATAAAAAAAATGCCAAGTTCATCAATTATAATCTGTTTCGCGAACAGTAGGTATGTTATTAGACATGGTGTGCGATTCCGCCACGAACGCTGGTGATTGTGACGTCAAATTTTTACATTTTCAATTTTGCCTAGTAACTGTTTAAACAGTTTTATTCTAAGAAGTTACTAAGCGTTCAATGTTACATGGTAGGTCAAAAATAAGGTATAAATATTTTAAACTATAATATTAGTTCGATGAATCTCCCGCTTTACTATAGCATATGCATTCTTTATTAACTTGTTACAATATATGTACTTACTAGCGGCTCACCCTCGCTTCGCTCGGGTTCGTCGCTAGGTACGTTTTAAATAGATATAAAAAGAAAAAATCTTTCTTTCTCACATTTTAATTA